ATTGAGGACATTTTGCTAAGTGAAATAAGCTAGACACAAAAAGACAAATATTGTATGATTCCATTTGTATGAAGTACCTAGAATAGTCAGATTCATAGAGACAGAAAGTAGCATGGTGGTCGCCAAGGGCTGGAGGGAGAGGGGAATGGGGAAGTAAGTGTTGAATGGATAAGAGTTTCAGTTTGGGAGGTTAAAGAAGTTCTGGAGATGGATAGTGGTGATGGTTGTACATCAGTGTACTTAATGTCACTAAACTGCCTTTAAAAGTGCTTAAAGTGGTAAATTTCATGCTATACATATTTTACCACAATTAAAAAAATAAATAGGAGCCATGTGGCAAAATATTAACAAAATGTGAATCTAGGTGAAAGGGTTTATGAGAGATCATTATACTGTTATTTTTAAATTACACTCTTGTTGTAACTTTTCTGCATGAGTTTGAGTAAACTCCGGGAGTTGGTGATGGACAGGGAGGCCTGGCGTGCTGCGATTCATGCGGTCACAAAGAGTCGGACATGACTGAGCAACTGAACTGAACTGAAACTTCAAAAAAACACAAAACTTCCTTAAAATTAACAGGAGGACTTTCTGTAGTGATGATACAGACCAGTTAAAATTGCTTCCGCTGCAGGGGTTGCATGGCCCATTTATCATATCAGCCTGGTGTTAAGAAGTTAATATATCAGAAGCAATTATTGACTACCTTAGGCAATTTGCTTTCACATTTTGATCATCACCTCTTTGTTGACTTAATTTCTTCATAAGGGCGGGAAGTTGACAACTTTTCAGTTTTCTCTGTATCATTTTTCTCTACATATTATTTTAATTATTATGAATTTCTAGGACACTAGGGATACCCATATTTAGTACTCAAATAAAAATACATTCTTAAAATGAAAAAGTTTTGTATTAACTCTTTTGCCATTTCTCTGTTAACTGTTCCTCCTCAATCATGTATATATAAATCAGACATAAATATATATAAAATATATATATGTAGATCTGATATATAAAATGTCTGAGGTTAGACTGGGTTCTCACAGATTGTGAGACATCGTGCAAATTATGTTCTCTCTCTAATTTTGAGTGTCCTCATCTGTAACCCTCAGAGTTATGAAGCTTTTAGGTGAGATAGTGAATGTAAAACAGAGCACATACTGGACACACAGTAAAAATGTAATACAGTTATTAATTATATCAATATTATTGGTATATGCCTGGATATGACTGTATAAGTCCAAGTGCAACAGAAGACAGCCTAGAGGTCAATCAATATATGTTAAATGTAAGTTAGTTTGTAATAATTTAATATTGCAGTTTAAAAGGGATATGTTTTAGTTTATCATTAAATTTACTTATCTTCAGTAAAGTTCTCTGCTGCTGAGCTTCAGGGAAAACCATGAAGCAAATATAAAGGCTGGTGAATAGTGTCTGTGAGGTAGGATTAAACCATTTAGGGTTCTTTTGCTTAGAGAAGTCTGTGAGGAGTCCTCAGGAAAAGACTATCAAGCTCATTATGTAACATTTATGTTCATTGTTTGATTGGTGGAATTATTGGGCCAGCTGAGATGATCCTAGTCTTAGAAGTCCAGGTTTTAAAATTTAAATTTAAAATTAAAAAAAACCAGGACTTAGAGGTCCAGGTTTTAAAATTACCAATTAAGGACAATCTGAGTGAAAATGGCTCTAAGTTCTAGAATAAAAAATTTAGATGATTAAAAGAAAAATTTCTATAATAAAAAATAATAAAAAAAGAAAAATTTCTGACAATGAGTTTTGTTAAACTTTAAAGTGACTTAACAGGGAGTCTGATGGAATTTTCTTGTTTGGGAGCACTTTAGAGGTAGATTAGATTTCTTGGGGGTTGCTTAGGTAAAGATGCACCTGTAGACAGGCACATATGCTGATGGTCGTTTTCAGTCTAAGAGTCAATAAAGGCCTTTGGCTCATGTTAAGTGTGATCAGTCACAGCCTCAGTGGGTAATCATCCTGCCTGCATTTTCTGATCTCTTTGGGCAATTTAATGATTAATTTAATTATCATCCTGCTTAACAAGGAATTCACAGTTCTTTTTAAAAAAGCTCTTGTTTTATTTGGTAATGGGAATGGCTCAGGCTCATTTATCTATTTTTAGCCACGTTTGTGCTCAGTTGTGTTAGACTCTTTGCAACCACATGGGGTGTAGCCCAGCAGGCTCCTTGTTCATGGAATTTTCTAGGCAAGAATACGGGAGTTGGGTCCCATTTCCTTCTCCAGGGATCGAACCCATATCTCTTGCATCTCCTTCATTGGCAGGCAAATTCTTTACTACGGGGTCACCTGGGAAGCCATGCTTATTGAAGTTTATTTACCCTTTTTAGTACAGTTTTATAAGTTTTCACAAACACATACAGTTGTTTGTCAAAGAATAAAGAAAGTCTACCTATTTATGTCTTGCTGGGAGATGGAAGATGCAACAGCAGGACAAAAAAGACCCAAAATATAGTGACTATGGAGAATTTTTATGGGAATCAAGGTCAAAATTTGCATACAACAGGACATGATTGTTTGTGCCCTCTTAAATCAAGCAGATGAATTCACTTTGTCTATCTATGTAGTCAATGTTGACCTTACCTGGTTCTTGTAGGACTGCATTTATTTGGTCACTGGTCTTCTGCTACACTAGGAGTAGGAGGGAAGACAGGAGTCACTTATAAAGGATTTGGGGATTAAGAGGTGGGATATGTCTCTGTATGCTTCTTTCCATTTTTGCTCCACTAATAAAACATTCTGGGGACCCTAATTATGTTCTAGTTATAGCAACAATAGATTCTAGATTTTTTAGGACAGTTTTATTTCAAAGAGTCTGTCCTTTTGTTCCCACGAGTAACATATACGCAGATGACATGCTTTGATTTTTGTCTGGAAAATATGATCAATGTAATTTATAACAGCAGGGAGAAGATTGGTTGATATGAAGCTCCACTTCAGCTTAGCCTTTATCAAGTGTTGGGTATTTTCCAGGATTGGAGAATCATGGTTGGACTGTGCTTAAGTCATTCTGAGTCTGGGGTGAAAGTGAAAGTGAAGTCGCTCAGTCGTGTCTGACTTTTGGTGACCCCTGGACTGTAGCCCACCAGGCTCCTCCGTCCATGGGATTCTCCAGGCAAGAATACTGGAGTGGGTTGCCATTTCTTTCTCCAGGGGACCTTCCCAACCCAGGGATCAGAACCCAGGTCTCCCGCATTGCGGGCAGATGCTTTAACCTCTGAGCCACCGGAGTCTGGGGTAGAGAGAGAGAAAACGACTTCCTATTGAATACCTACTATGTATATGCTTGGCAATGTGCTAGGTGCTTTCCCTATTGACAGCTGCTCTGGCTAGAATTCCATCTCAGATCCAACCACCTCTTAAATTAAAAACAAAAATACCCTCTCAAAACAATGTATTCCTCATGGGACCTCCTTCAGTAATACAAGTCACAGCTGCCACACCCTCTATAAGACCCTGGCACCATAATTAGGATAATAGACTCTCAGGGCTTGAAGGGATCTTTGAGGTCATTTAGTTAAAGGGCAGCAGCTGTTCTCTTCACCACCGACAATTATCTCAAACGGAGGTGCAAAAAAATGTCCGGGGCCATGGTCTCTGTACGCTGCAATTCCACAAAAGATAGGTCACCGATAAGCAAATGTGAAGCTTGAACTGCGTTCCAGACTGAAAAGGGCAATGGGGGGAAATATGGCTTACCAGGGCCCTCAGACAAGGTAAATAGAAAAAAAAAAAAAAAAATTAAAAAAGAACTGGCGGAGACGTATTTAATGTGTGCCCTTGAATTCAAGTAGAGGCCCAAGAAGGGGATCCTGGTTGACCAGGCAAACCCCAAAGAGTCCTCTCTCTCCTCAGTTTCACCAGCTCTGAAATTCTAGCCATCCTGGATCTTCTTTGCCCTTTTATTAGAAAGCCAGGAAACCTCCTTTTCCACGGAAGAGGGTGAGAGTAGGGCCTTATGGTGCATGAACAATAAAAAAAAAAATGCCTTTTCTCTTATGTCTGAGCAGTGGTACAGACAACCGTCCTGGAGCGGCAGGGGACTATATTTCATGCCCTCTCAAGGTCCCTTCGGTTCAAGGATACTGTCATTCTCCAGCTATACTAGAGGGAGGGCCTGCAAAGTCCAGGCTGCCATGGAAACACGCCGCCGTGTTCCTTTTTCTTACGTGGGGCGGGGCACTCCGACTCAGTCGCCAGTTACCCACAGCCTTTCTTGAGTGGCGGGCAGCAGCAGCGAATGAGCGAGCCGATGCTGCGTGACGCGACGGGAAAGGGGGAGTTCGCGGCCGGTGGCGGCGGTGGCTACAGCGGCGACCTGGGGATAGAGCTGGAGGGACCTGGGGAGCGTGCGGAGACCTCTAGCAAGAGCGCGAGGGATCTCCCGCCAGGATGCCTGGTACCGTGTGGGGAAAAGTGGGGGAGTAGTCGGCTCTGAAGACTTGGGCTTCGCGTCTGAAGGGGTGGCAAACCGGAGGGGGCGGGGTGGCAAGCATGGCGGCGGTGACGGGGGAAGGGTTGGAGGGCCCCAAGGAGGGGGTGGGGTAGCACTCGCTAGGAAGACCCGGGTGCTCGTGAGGAAGCGTGAACGGCTGTGGGGGTTCAGACGAGCAGAGGTTTTCCAAAGATGCTTTTTTGGGGAGCGGTAGAGGCGCCTGAAGGACGTAGGGAGAGTTGTGGGGGATGGAAAAAAGGGGCGGGGAGAGTAGAGGTTAGGAAGGAGGGGAAAGGGTGTCTACGCGAAGGTGATGGAAGGGGAGAAGGGTAGGCAGGCTGATTGTAAGCAGGAGGAAATCGGGCCGTGGCAGGTATGACAGAAAAGTGCTTGTGTCCAGTGTTATAATAGGAAGAGTTCTACACTCGTCCCCCTTTCCAGGTCTCGTACTTAAATGCCTCATTATTTTAAGCTCAGACTGCTTGAGGAAGGCTAGTAGGTTACACGGAACTGATCTTTTGTTATTCCATTCCAGGGGAGCAGATGGACCCTACTGGAAGTCAGTTGGATTCAGATTTCTCTCAGCAAGACACTCCTTGCCTGATAATTGAAGATTCTCAGCCTGAAAGCCAGGTTCTAGAAGATGATTCTGGTTCTCACTTCAGTGTGCTAGCTCGACACCTTCCTAATCTTCAGACGCACAAAGAGAACCCTGTGTTGGTGAGTGATAGATTGCTTGGAAATGATTGAGTAGATTCCCACCCCACCCCTAATCTAGACCAGTCTGCAAATGTAAGTACTTAGGAGATCACTATCTTTTGGGTAAAGTTGGTTGGAAAATGAAATCTATATTTTCACAAAAATATATCTCATTTTGGATTATCTCATTGTGTGTGTGTATTTTTTAGAATGTTGAGTCCAATACTGAACAAACAGCTGAAGAACAGGGAGGCAGTAAAAGTGGCTTCAATGAGCATCTGAAAGAAAACAAAGCTGCAGGTGAGATTGCTCTGCAAGGGTGCTCTTATTGGAGTTGGGTAGATTTCAATATTATGTGATTGTGCTGAGGTATGTAAGGAAGTCTAGCACAATATCTGGTGTGTAGTAGGTACTCAAAAGGTTGGTTTTCTAATAGAGCTGATTAGATTGGTATTGTACACATTCCTGAATTTGTATTAAAGTTTGGTGGTAAATGCCTTTTGTGCTAATATCCAGTTATTTTTTTCAGACTCTATGGATTCTTCTCATTTGGAGACACGTGGTTCCATGAGTCAGATCATTGAACAGTTACCTCAGCCAAATAGGAAAAGCAGGTATATTAGTGTTTGGAGAAATTTATTTAAATATATTAATGGATCAGTTCTTTTATCTGTGCCTGTTGTCTTGCCCTAAGGATAAAAGGATTTATTTTTGTGGAGCAGGAAATTAGACTTGAGGATTGTTTTAACTAGCATTCTATTGGTATTTAAGCTGGAATCTCTTTTTGTGAAGGTAGCAACTTTTTTGTACCTATGTTGTTCAAATTGTGATCTGTCTTGTGCATGTGAAACAAAATAAGAATTCCTCATTCTTAGCTTGGATACAACTTATTAATAGGAAAAATAATAAAAAAAATATTAAGATATATTATCAAAAGTTAGGCATGGTTTCTACCTACCAACCAAAGAATCTTCACCAGTTTTAGACCCAGAATGTTTAATTCATACCTTTAACAGTATTCACTTTTTACTTTGTCTCTTGTAAATGTTTAACATTGCCCATTTGTGAATTTATCCTCTGTTAGACATTGGATCGGATGTTTGATATATACTGCCATTTAATTTCATCCTTAAAGCAGCTGTATAATGAACACATTACATTACTTCTGTTACTTACTGCTTTTGTTCTTAAACCCAAGCACTTTAGTCATTTATGTTACTTAGTTGTGGGAGGGGGAGGCGGGTAGTGATGGGCAAGAAGTTAAAAACCTTACCCTAGAATATATTGCTAGTAAGTGGCAGACCTGGGTTTTGAGTCCTTGTAATTCAAGTGCCTCTCTTTCTTTATGATTATTCAGCGCCCCAATTCTTCAAAGATCAAAGAAGAACGCTAGAGTTTTAGAGTGAGTGGTGGAATAGAAAAGGGAGGTTGTTAGGAGAATGTTAGCTTGGGGTGAAAGACTATGATTTTTATCTCAAAAATAAATACTTTCTTGTGTGTGTGTTCTGTTTAATACTCTGTGTTTGCACTTAAAATTTTTCTCTCAAATCATTAATTGGATACTTTAGAACAATCCGCAAATTGGTGGAGTTACTTTGGCCTGCAGGTGGGTTCTAGTTGGCCCATACATGGTGGTTAAAATATATTTGAATTAATTGATAGAATTTAAAAATAGGGAAATTTCACATGGAACTTCAATTTCCAGTTTTTGGGATTACTAGTTCAGAAGTAATGCAACTGCTGTATTATTGGCAACAGTTGGCTGGAGCTGTGAGTAGCAGCCAATCTCTGCTTAGATGGGACATGAGTGCTGTGGGCTGTCATAGTGCCTGTAAGTCACTGTTGTACCTGGACCCTGAGGCCAGCTGTTCTTTTTTTCATTTTCCTGGGGCTTGTGCTTTTGTTCTTAAACCCAACCACTTAAATCATCTATGTTGCCTTTCTTTACCTTTTGTAGGCATTTTAAGTTTTTCTGATACCTCTTTAGGATCCACTTGCCAGACTTATCTATGTTTTTGTGGCTCAGGACCCGGGTTTGAACCACTGAGGACAGAATGTGTGCGTACCTGTTGTTATAAATGGATAGTACTGTTTTGAGAATTCTCATGCTACTACTTTTCCCTTTTTGCATGAACATGATGCTCTTTCTTTAAAAAAAAACAAACTTGAATGCTTGCACTCAGTAAACGTGCAGGCACTGTGGCGCGTGTTTTAAATCATCTCTGCCATCATGGAGCTTACACTTTAATAGGAGAGATATGTTGAATAATTATATAAATAGTTAATCAGTGAAAATTGTGATCATTTTAAAGAGGGAAAAAATAGGATATATGAGCTAATCTGGGGGATAAGGGAAAATCTTTTTGAGAAGAAGACGTAAATTATAAATACAGATTTGTTAGGCATAGGTGAAGGGCTGGGGAGAAGTGTGGCATGTGGGAGGAGGAACTTTCCAGACAGAGGGAATAGCATGTGAAAAGGCCACGAAACTGCAAAGAATGTGGGGTTGATTCCAAAAGAACGAAAGCTCTAGAAAACACATGTGTACTGATCTCTTTATGTTGTCTTTATTCGTTACAGCAGACATTTTGAAAAGCTGCTTGTGAGTTTTATACAACATAAAATTCCAAAAGATCTTCCTCTCTTTATCTGTTGTCTTGCTGATGTAAGCCTTTGGTTCTAAACATGAAGCATTGTAAAATATGATGCTGAAGATATTTTTATTTCTGTTAAACGCTTAAAAAATTGAGATGATGAATATTTATTTTTCTTATTTGGACATGCTGGGTCTTGGTTGCATCAGGGCTGCGGCACGCAGGATCTTCGATCTTTGTGGTAGTGTGCGGGATCTTTAGTTGTGATGTGCAAACTCTGAGTTGCAGCTTGTGGGATCCAGTTCCCTGACCAAGGATTGGACCTGAGTCTGCTGCCTTGGGAGTGTGGAGTCACAGCCGTTGGAGCACCAGAGAAGTCCTGGGGTGATTAAAGGTTCACATGCTTTTTTAAGAAGTAGCACATAGATTTTTTTGTACACTTTCCCCAGTTTTCCCCAGTGGTACCATTTTGCAGAACTGTAGTATAATTTCACAACCAGAATATCAGCATTGCTAAAATTCAATGAAATTATTCTGAGTTCTCTAGTTCTACTTGTACTCAGGTGTGTATAATTTTTATACTGCTCAATTGTCTGTGTAGGTTTATCCACCACTGTGACCAAGATGCTAACAGTTCCAACACCACAGGGAGCTCTAGTGTTGCCCTCTTACAACCACATCCATCCCCTTCACCTGCACTTGAACCCCTGGCAGCCATTAATTAGGACCATCCTCGGGACTTCCCTGGTGGTCCAGTGGTTAAAACTCTGTGCTTTCAATCCTCGGTCTACAAGTTTGATCCCTGGTCGGGAAACTGAGGTCCTACCTACTGCAAGGAGCAGCCAAAAAAAATTAAAGACCATCCTCCATTGGTAAAGTTTTGTCACTTAAAATCTTATGTAAATAAGATCATATAGTATATAATCTTTGAAGGTTGAATTTTTTCAAACTGTGTACTAGAGATCTATCTGAGTTGTTGCATGTATCAGTGGTTTGTTTTATTGCTGAGTAGTGTTCCATGGTATGGATGTACCACAGTTTGTCTAACCATTTACCTGTTGACGGAAATCTGGGTTGATTCTAGTTTTTGGCTAGCATAAATAAAGCTGCTATGAACGTTTGCCTACAGGTTTTTATATGTCTTTCATATCTCTAGGATAAATGGCCAGGGGGGCAGTTGTTAGGTCACATGGTAGTTGCATGTTTAGTTTTTTTTTTTTTTTTTTTTTCCATTTATTTTTATTAGTTGGAGGCTAATCACTTTACATCATTACAGTAGTTTTTGTCATACATTGAAACGAATTAGTTTTTTTTTTTTCTTCAAGAAAATGCTGATCTGTTTTTTAGAGTGGTTGTATCATTTTACTGTCCCACTGGCAGTGTATGAGACATCCAATTTCTGTCCATTCTCACCAGCATTTGGTGGTGTTACTCTTAGCCATTCTGATAAGTGTTGTCACTCTTTTATTTTAGCCATTCTGATAGTGTGTGGTGATATCTCATTGTGTGTGTGTGTGTGTGTGTTTTAATAACTTTATTTATTTACTTATTTTGGCTGTGCTGGGTCTTTGTTGCTGTGCAGGCTTTTCTCTGATTGCAGTGAGTGGGCTTCTCATTGCAGAGTGGCTTCTCTTGTTGCAGAGCCTGGACTCGAGGCGCGCAGGCTTCAGTAGTTGTGGTTCCAGAGCTCTAGAGCACAGGCTCCGTAGTTGTGGCGCAGGGCCTTAGTTACTCTGAGGCAGGTGGGATCTTCCTGGATCAGGGATTGGACCTGTGTCTCCTGCATTGGCAGGTGGATTCTTTACCGCTGAGCCACCAGGGAAGCCCTCATTGTGGTTTTAATTTGCATTTCCTTAGTGGCTAATGATGTTGAACATCTTTTCACATGCTTTGCATCTGTACATTCTCTTCAAGGAAGTGTCTGTTCATATCTTTTGCCTATTTTGTAATTGGGTTTTATTTTACTGTGTTTTGAGAATTCTTATATTCTGTTTACTAGTTCTTTGTAGGACATGTGGTTTGCAAATGTTTTCTCTTTGGCTTGTCTTTTCATTCTCTTAAGAGGTTTTTTCCCATGGAGCATGTTTTTAGTTTTGATGAAGTCTGTTACATGCTTTTAACAGAGAAATATAAATGCATAGATTATTTTAAAAATAACTTATAATGAAAATCAAAGAGTCCATTCCCACTGTTGGCTCCCTTTCACAGAGGTAATCCTTTTTACCAAAGAGGTAATCCTTTTTAAGTGTCTGTGTTTTTACTTCTCTGGAGCTTATCTTTTTAGCTTTTAATATTGTTGTAAAACTAAGTAGCACTACAGTATTGCCATTTCTTGTTTAATCAGATTAAGACATTTGAGTTCTATAATGAAAGATGATGTTTAACTCACAACAACACTTTTCTAATTTAAAAATAGATATGTTTGTTTATTTATGGCTTTAGGGCCTTCCTTCTGGCGTGGGCTCTGTAGTTGTGGCATATGGAATCTTAGTTCCTTGATGAGGATTGAACCTGCACCCTATGCATTGGGAGGCAGATTCCTGACTGTTGGACCACCAGGGAAATCCCAGCACACTCCTAACTTTTGATAATAATTGTTAGTTTTTTTATTGGCTAGATTTATATTTCTAAATGGTATATTTAAACATTTGTTTTCTTTTTCTATCAGTTTTGGATAGTGGACAAAATTGATTTATTTCAGATCTGCTCTGATTCACCTAATCATTCTGTAAATATTTACTGCGTATTTCCTATATGCCAAGCACTTTGGAGTTTTGGAGATACAGAGTGATCAGAAGAGATAAGAAACTTTAGAACTTAATGTAGCTTATATTCTTTTATGGGATATAGCAGTTATCTGATAGATATGTAAAAATCTATAGTGTCTCACACTCTGATAGTGTGAGACTATTACACTATCACACTGTCTCACACTCTGATAAAGTGGAGAATTGGATGGGAAACATCAATGGAGTTGCAAGTTTAGACAAGGTGACTTAAGGGATGCTTCCCTGATGTGACATTTGACTAAAAATCTTGAGTAAGTGATCTCTGCTGTTATTTGGTTAAATGTCATCTGCGTATACAGAACAGCAAATGCAAAGGCCCTGAGGGAAGAGTGTGCTGGAATATTTGAGAAATGACGAGGAGGTTAGTGTGGCTGCCTTGGTGTGCTGGAGAGAAGTGGGAAAAGAGGTCAGAGAAGTAAAGGGGGAACCAGAATATATAAGGCCTTATGGATCATTGTGAGGCATTTAGCTGTTACTTTTAGTGAGATAGGAAGGTGTTTAATAGTTTTGATCAGAGGAATGACATGCTCTTACTGAGATTTGAACAGCATCACTCTGGCCACTGGATCAAGAATAGACTAATACCTGGATAAAGCTGGGAAAAATAAAAATTAAAGAAACTATTCAAGTTGAAAGTAAAATCTGAAGGGAGAGCAAGGGCAGAGGCAGAAAGACCAACTAGGAGACTCTTGAAATATTTAGGTGAATGTGACAGTGGCTTGACCAGTGTAGAAGTAGATGAGAAGTGTGAGCTTCTGGGTTTTTGAAATTAGGATTCAAAGTCAGATTGGATATTAAGTATGAGGGAAATGAAGGAGGTAATGGTGGTTCCACATTTTAGGTTTGGGAACTGGAAGAATGGAGTTGCTGTCGATTGAGATGGAGAAGATCGAACGGGAAGGTCAATTACAGGCTTGTTAAAGTTGAGCTGCCTTTTCAATTGCCAGTTGGAGGCAGTTGATGATGTGAAAGTCTAGAGCTCAGGAGGAAGGTCTAAGCTGGAGATTAAAAGTTGCAGAGTAATAAGCATATGGATGGTATTTAAGGCCATGAGTGTGGATAAGATCACTAAAGGGATGAGTGTAGGTGAAGAAGAGGTTCAAGGACTCATTGTGCCCAGCAGCATTTAGAGGTTAGGGATGTGAAGAAAACCACCACAAGAGGCTGAAGAAGATCCAGGGTGTGTGATTAGTGCTGTATTTTTTTGCTCTTCTACTTTTTTGTCATACATGCTCTTGACTTTCTTTCCCTATATTTCCCAGGGTCTTGCATCTGGTCCTCCCAGTTGTAGGTAACGTTCTATTATTTTATTTCGTGAAAGTCTTTACTCAGTCCTTCTTCTCTTCCTTGAATCATGGTTCCCAGCTTTGCAAATCCATGTTTTCATCTCTTTTATGCTTATTAAACTTACATTTAATGGTCTTTATGTGAACTGTTAAATGGATAGAAAGTTAAAAGGAAACAAAAAATGTCATCTATAATTCTGCCACCCAGAGGCTAACTCCTGTAAATATTTTGGCTCATTTTCTCTCTCTCTTTTTTTTTGTGCACTTGATTTACATAGTTGAGATGTGGAAGGTAAAAGTTTGTGTGTTTCTTGACCTTTTTGCTTATCAACATAAGCAATTAATTTTCCCTGACAGTTAAAGCTCTTACTAACATTTGCCCCATGATTTTTGTTGTAAAAGTTACGCATTTTTTTCTGTGTGTGTATAAAATATACTGTTTTGGGGGGCTGGATCATTTGAAGCTAAGTTGCAGAAATCATAGTTCCCCTCAAATACTTTAGAATTCATCCCCTAAGGAAAATACATTATCCTGTATAATCATAATACTCTTAGCACACCTAATACCGATTCCATAATACCTGATAATATAGTTTGTATTCATATTTTCCCAATTGTCTGAAAGATGTCTTTATTTTATATACATAAATTTTTTGTTTTGTTTGGATTATATATATCTATTTTGTCCAATATCTAGTCCAGTGGATTATATATATCTATTTTGTCTAGTATCTAGTCCAGATATACAATTTACACATTGTATTTGGTTGTTTTGAACATATTTAAAAGCTGCATAAATTCCATTTTATGGATTATGAAGTTAGTTATTTACCTACTGTTGGGCTTACAGTGGGTTATTAGTCACAGTGAACTTTGAAAGTTTGTATAAGGATCTTTTCATATTTTAAGCTATTTCTTATAATTGAAATTACTAGGTATGAAAATTTTTTAGAGCTCTTGATACATATTTAGTTGTTCTCCAGAAAGGTTCTGTTAGTTTGTACTGTCATGAAGAGTATGTGATAATGCTAATCTTACCTCAACAGCACTGAATAGTAGGACAATATTTACGTTTTTTTTTTTTTCTAATTTCATTGGCAACTAATGGTTTCTCTGATTTCTTACATGTTTAAAGATACTTGTATTTTTTTGTGTGTGTGAGTTGTCTCTTTTGTTGTGCATTTATATCTTAGGCTTCTTATAAATTCCTTGTATTTTATGAAGATGATTTTTTTGTTATATTGTTGCAGATATTTTTTCCTAATTGTTTATGTCTTATACTTTTGTTTATTGTTTTTTGACCTGTGATATTAACCTGAATTTTTTTCTCAAACGCTGTGTGGGTCTATGTTATGTGTTCTAAGAATTTTTGCAAAAATGCCTTTGTTAATTGTGTTCTGTTTAATAGCTGTATTTTTGAGCCCCTTCTCTGCACATCTGATGCGCATCTTCTTTTGTCGGTAATTCTCTTGAGTGTGAGATTTTTCTGTCCCTGCTCATGTCTTTTTCAGAGAAAGATAGAAATGTAGTATGTTTGTTTCCTCCTTCTGACTCATGTTTGTATTAATTCTGTACAGTGTTTTGAGTTGTTAACCTTTAAGGTGCTTTCTGTGGAAAGAAGCAGTAATGGGGTGAGGTTTTTTCACATTTACTTAAAAAGTGGTATTATGTGTGGGGAGTCACAGAAAAATTGAATTCTTTGAGCAGGGTATCCCATCCTATGGGGGAATACATGATTGTGTCTTTTTGCTGTGTAGTGTTTTGGGAATGTCAGTGGAATCTGCTCCTCCTGTAAGTGAAGAGAAGGAAGAAGAGGTGGAAGAGAAGGAGAAAGAGGAAAAGGAAGAAGATATTCCAGATGATACCACACACTCCCTTAGTGCTGAAGGTAGCTTTATGCCTTTTTTCAGGATAGTAGGGTGGTCTAGTCCCTTTAACATGAACACTGCAAATGCCTCAATTTCTCCTTATCAGGCTGTAGATTTCTCATCATTAAGTATAGTCATTAGGAAATTTGCTAGTAGTCTAAGATATTCCACCTAATTTGTTGTTCAGGAATTTTTAGCTCATTGTTTAGCCTTCTTTCTGCATATTGACTTCTACTTCTTTTGTATTCATTTGTTTTTCAAATATTTGGGAGATGTTTGCCTTGTAGGGTGGAATTACAATCTGAACTACACTGCTGTATGTGTGTGTGTTCGCGTGCGTGTGTGGCACTTATGTATTTCTTTAGAAAGTAGACATAGTCTGCCTTTATTAGGTGTTTGTAAGGTTTTATGGTACACAGTTGTTTGCTTCGTTATGCATTTCCCCTCTTTGCTTTCAGTGCTTTTTTTCTTAGTTTTCTTTTGAAAAAACTTGCAGAGGTGGGGCAGGGCTTTGATGTGAAGGACTTAGTATGGCCTTCTTTTGCTGAAGGGTAGCACCTTGCATAGCGCATAGTATGGGATGATTCCTGATTTCTTGGGGTTTTCTTCCTAGATCCTGCCTCATCACAGTTGGGCTTTGGGGTTCTGGAACTCTCCCAGAGCCAGGATATTGAAGAACAAACTGTGCCCTATGAAATAGACAGAGAGCCTCTACAGCCAGTAACCACCAATTCTGGATATACTCGGCTATCTGATGTGGATGCTAATACTGGTACGTAATGTGTGTCTGGTGTTTAGAATTGCTTAGAAGTATTTTCCGCCCATGCCAGTTGTGTTCTCCTTGATGGAGTTTATGGCTATCTAAGTTAAGGTCATCTTAAGTATGGGAAAGTTGCAGAGTTGTCTGGCAAATACATGCCAGTTGATGGCTTGCATACTAAGTTTTTCTGGTAAGTGGGTAAAGGCTGTTTTCCTTTTTGGAATAATATACCGGTGTATATTTTCAGTTTGAATTTCTTTCTTTAAAATCTTTGCCCTTTGAAAAGCATTTGGGACTACTTCGAGTATTTTGAAAAATTAAATATCTCCTTCCTATCTTCTTTTAAAACTTGAAGCAATTAAGCATGAAGAACAGTCTAATGAAGATATCCCCATGGCAGAACAGCCTAGCAAGGATGTCCCTGTGGTTGAAGAGCAAAATTCACCACCTGCAAGGTAAACCAACTTCTTCCTAGAAAGTGTTTTTGGGTGTTTGCTATCGGGTTGTACTTATTGGCCAGATGGAAACATTTTTAGAAATTCTTGATTTTCTTTTTTCCCCCTTTCCCTGGGCATATTGTCGGTTCAGTAGAAGCATTTATTGTTTATGAATTTTTATTATGTCCTTATCTTTAGACATATTAAAAATCCAATTTATTGCTGTTGTAATTGTGAGGATGACCCCTGAATTCTTGGTTGCTACTCCTCACTGATCTGTCTGCGGAGGCACCATCTCTGTGGGATGTCTTTCTAGCTTCTTTGTTATAGGAGTCACAGGAATATTGTATTTGGAAGTCCACTGTTTTTATACCTGAGCAGTACCCAGATTGCTCTGCGTCCTCAGGTATCCTGCATCTGGTAGTTTATGGTGTAGATAAATGGGGAAGTATTCTTTCCTCATGTCCTTTAGTCTCTTAACTTGGTAGGAGTGACCAGTTGGTCTCTGTTCTGCCTGTGCTGATGCTGTATCCCAAACAGCATCATCTCTGGTCAGTAGTTCAAGTTTAGATATGGCAGAGGACGAGTGGGATGTTTCTGTTTTGGAGGAGGGAATGAATAAAGATTTAGTATTCTGTTGTTTCTTCCTTCAGTTAGAAACAGTGGGAAATACGATACTGAACAAAGTTGAATGTAAAGAGAGGTCAGCTTTCTAATGCAAAACATCCAGCTAAACTGCAGCTGACTTTTTCCACTCTTCTTTAGGAAATTGTTCTTTAGCTGATTTTGCTATCCTGTTTACTCTGGGGAATGGCAGAGTAGGCAGACCTCATAAGTCTCTGGAAAGGAGCCAGCAGTGAGTGTCTTACATGTGTAAGTAGTATTTGTAGTGAGGGTTTTGATTTGGGCCTTAGGTTGAGTAGATCAAATCAAAAAGGCCAGCAGGAACTTCCTCGATGGTCCAGTGGCTAAGACGCCATGCTCCCAGTGCAGGCGGCCTGGGTTCGATCACTGGTCAGGGAACCAGATCCTACATGCCGCAGCTAAAGATCCTTCATGACACAACAAAGACCTGGCCCAACTAAACAAATTATTTAAAAAAGAAAAAACGGTCAGCAGAAGATAATGTGTGTGGCTGATGCAGAGGATAATTTACATCCAGTCCCTTTCTGTGGAAGGTCGTTGTTCTTTCTGGCATTGTTGTGGCCGCAATCACACACCTTCATGCACATCTAGATAACCACATGTGTAGCAAAAATCCCTAAACCACTGTTCAGAAATCTTGGACAGCATGCAGCACTGCAGTGAGAAGCATGGAGAAAGAGATTTTGCTGTGTGAGAGACTGAGGCATACTTTGAAAGAGGCTGAGAGCTTTACCTCATTATCAAGAGTAGCTTATTTCACTTTTAACAAATAGTTTTTGAAGGTTTTGAAATTAATAAAGGAAAACACAGAACAGGAAAAGCTTCTTAGTTCAAAGATGAAAGCCTGTGAACATAGTAACTCTTTCTTCTGGTGATATGAATTTCCTAGGTCAGAGGACATGCCTTCTAGTCCCAAAGTATCTGCTGCTATGGAAGCAAAAGAACAGACTTCTGCCCAAGAACTTCCAGAAGGTGGGATGCAGGTTCAGAAGTCACCGGAGCCTGAGGTTTTGTCAACTCAGGAAGACTTGTTTGATCAGAGCAATAAAACAGGTAAAAAGAATAATTAGTTGCCGTAGCTCTTCTTTTCTGAATGTCTGAACTTTTATTTCTGTTCTGAGGCTACTGTTTTAAGTTAGAAGGCACTTTGTAGGTATGCAGACTTGTTTGTGATACAGAAGGAAAGTATATTTCTAGCTGATTAATGAGAAGGGCTTTTTGTAAACAATTGCTATTTAACATTTTAGCATAATTTTCTTTCTCTTTTGGAAATGGAGATATTGAATAGTAACTACTAATAATGTAACAGATTTAATGTTACGGACTGAGTAGCTATTTCTGTTATCATAAGTCTTAAATGATATGATAATTAAGTGAAGATTTTTATATTCACCTGGGTAACAGTCTACTTATTCATCTGTTTATTAGTTCATATACGACAAATAGGAAGTTATGATCTAGCAGAAAAAACATAATACTTTCAGAAGACTAGAATGATATTTGTTTCAGATTTTGTTAACCCCCACCAATGCCCTATTGTGCAACCTCACAGGGCCAAAAAGCTTTAGTCATAATCAGCAAATTATGATGTATTGGTTGTAAGTAGGGAAGAAGAGAAGGTTATATTCCTTTACTATGTTGTGAATGTGTGTAGGACATACAGAGGGTCACCATGAAGCCTTTTCTGGTCTCTCACTAAAGTTACAAGGTTGTGTTTAAGAAATTTTTTTATTTTTGCAATTAAAAAAAAAACATCAGATACTCAATTCATTGCTAAGGAGAAGGGACCCACAGGAGACTCTTCATAGTATAAATCACTAATAGCTGCTCATATATCCTTTTACATATGCATGAGTATTTTTTCTCTCCTTTGAGGAGCCCAGGTTCTAATCATGAAAATTGCTGCATTCATATTATCAGGTGTCATGCGTATTGTTTTGATTTCTCTCATCTGCATCATGGCATGAACTTTACTTCACCTTCGGTAGAACTTGAAATAGAAGACTCGCTTACTGCAGTAGAAACGTCACAAGAAAGAGCAGCCAAGGAGAGGTTTAAGGCCTCTGGCTTTTCCTTTCCAAGCTTCGATCATTATGGAAAGGACTAAGGAGTTCTTTTTGTCAATTCTTTTTTAAAGAAATTCATAATTTATTAGGGAGGGGGTGTTTAATGGTTACTCAAGATTTGTGTTAGAATGGCATTCCGTTTGTAGTTGCTCAGTTGTGTCTGACTCTGTGACCCCACGGACTGTAGCCCACCAGACTCCTCTGTCCATGGAATTCTCCAGGCAAGAATACTGGAACTGGTAGCCATTCCCATCTCCAGGGGAATCTTCCCCACTCAGGGATCGAACCCTGGTCTGCATTGCAGGCAGATTCTTTGCATTCATTAATTGGACTGCAGTTAGAAAATAGTTGTTGCCTTCATGGCAGCCACCCATCCACATGGGTGGATATAAGAATATTACTCTTTTTGTAGTACTGAGTGTTTTTTTGTTTTTTGACAGTTCAGTAATGTCAATATGAGAAGTAAATGCAACTGGAATTTTTTTTTTTTCTCAGTGGCTTCTGATGGTTGCTCTACTCCTTTAAGGGAGGAAGGTGGGTGTTCTCTGGCCGCCACACCTGCTACCACTTTGCACCTCCTGCATCTCTCTGGTCAGAGATCCCTTGTTCAGGAGAGTCTTTCCACGTGAGTAAGCCGAAAATAGCCCTTTCAGGAAAACATGTGCCTTATGGTCTTAAGGCTAAGGTTGAAAGAACTAAAATTGGTAGTCCAGAAGTCTTTTGAAGCAAAGAAGTAAACTCTAGGCTTAAGAATTTGGGGGAATAAGAACTTAGTGGAATTATTGAAGGCAGGTAGATCTCTTTCCCATTTGAAGCCCAAAGGTTTCACCAGAGAAGAAATTGCCCAGTTATTTATAGAGACTTGCATGTTTAAAATAAGCTGCTTGCTGCTCCATTTGACTAACAGTTCTTCACATTTAATGGCATAGGGGTGCCGAAGGGGTTCTGCTAGAGTTGATAATAATTGAATTTCTTTATCTGTGTGCAGGAGTGAATATTTGTCTCACATCTGCAGTTGAATGGTGTTTTTTTTTTTTTAGCACTTTCTCATCATGCTTTTCAGTCATAATGTCCTTGTATCCTATCAGTTACTTTCTTTTGTAATTATATTGCTTTTCCCATAATCTTTTTTTTTTTTTTAATTCTCATTTTGGATAGGTCTGGTATGAGAAATAGTTATTGAAGTATTACTCGTGGCTCTTCTACCAATCTCAGCTGTTTGAGAGAAATAGTATTAAGTATTTTTTTTTTTTTTACTATTAAGTATTGTCTGAATGACTTAGATATTTTTGTTATTGAGAAGTAGAAAACAAATGGAAAACTGTGGCTGTGGTGAAATAACCTGTGATTCTCTCTTTACATAAAGGAATTCCTCAGATCTTGTTGCTCCTTCCCCTGATGCTTTCCGATCCACCCCTTTTATCGTTCCTAGCAGTCCCACAGAGCAAGAAGGGAGAAAAGGTGAGCTCTCTTGATCTGTCTGTTGATCTCAGATTAGAAGTGGAGTAGCTCTTCTGCCATGCAGAGTGTATTGTTTCTTTCTATGTTAGAACGCTGAGAGCTGAACTGTTCACTAGGACTCACGTCTAACCTTCAGCGTTGTGGTCTAGTGTGAAGTGCTCGCCTCAGTTCTTTGCTCTTTTCGCACTGATTTTTCTGAGTTCTGTATTGACAATTTTTGAAACGACCCTTACGGGAAAATTGTTAAAAGTTGAACTCAAATGAATTAATGTAATGAAGAATTTTATTACTATTGGCCTAATGGTTTCCAACAACATGGTAACATGTTCCTAGTCAGAGGGAACCAAACATTGGTTCTTTTGTTCTTTACAGGCTATTTTGCTATTATCAAAGCAGTTTTAGCCAGAGTGGTTAGGGGTAGGTGGTAGAAATTTTTTCATTCCCTTCCTCCTTTGAGGACCTAGTGATTTTATATTACTTTATTCACAGGAGAGATTTCCTTTTTACCTATGTTATTATCTAAACCTCTTTTGCCCTGTTCTAGTCACTCAAGATATTTCAAATTCCTCCTCCTATACAAAGCCTTTTCCAGTGAAGTCCATGATTTTTTTCCTTTTCCTTCTTTCACATAGCAATAATGGTACAATAGCCAATATTTATTGAATGATTAGTTTATGTCAGGCACTATTCTTTGTGTTTCTCTTCGGTTCTAGGTACTTCTCTATGTGTGTGTGTTTGTTTTTTAATTCCTCACAACAGTTCCGAGAAGTAGGTGTTACTTTTATCCCCATTTTACAGATAAGAAAATGGAGGCACAGAGATTTCACAGCTAAGTCATAGAGGCAGGATTTGAAGTTGGGCACCTACCACCAAAGCCTGTGTTAATGGGTTTTAATTTACCTGTGACAAAATGTAATCTTAGACTTTTCTTCTGTCACAGAGTTTGTGTCTGGTTATTTTCTCTTGAAATCAATGTAGGTGTATCCAAGTGGACTAATATCATTCTAAGCATAACAGGATTAGATACTTTCAGTGGAAAATAAAAGTGAATCCATTCTATTGATGCAAAAAATACTGTTAATTCAAATTAAATTTGGTTTATCCTTGATCTTATTTTTTTCTATCTGTAGTGTGAACACTGAAGATATATAAAAAATATATTAAAAATGCTTTCTCCCTTACTGTAAACATAATTAGTACTTACAGTAGAAAATTTGGAAAGCATATGGGAAAGTAATGAGAAGAAAATAAAAATTACCTGTGATACCACAACCCACATGTGATTAGTATTTGGATATGCTTATTTCCTTTCAGAGTTTTTCTATGCATGAATATAAAGAAGTATGTTTATAGAGTTGGGATCATGTTACATATATGATTCTGTGTTCTTTTTTTTTTTTCATGTAACATTGTATTCTCCCTTGTCAATTATATTTTAGATTTAACGTATTTGCTTAATATGTGCATAACTGTGGGACTGTGTATGCTTTTTGTATTTTTTTTTAATGTCTAAGAATATTAACCTAAAGCCTTTTTTTATGTAGCGCTTAGAACAGTCCTTAATAAGTGCTTTGTCATGGTGATGAAGATCAAAAGATATAATGAAATTACTTAACACAGCTGTGGTAGTGTAATAACGGGCTACAGCACCAGTTCCCGAACCTGTCTCGATTGGAGTGTGCATGTGACATCAAGCAAAGCAGCAGGGATAGATAGGCATTGAGGTCGGGGGAGCTGGGAGCTTGATTATAGGGAAACACTAAATGGTGTAGGTAGTATGTGAGAGTAGTCTAAAGGGAAGCCTGTTTGGGGCTTCAAGTTATAAAATAGGGGAAAAAGGGTTGATGAATCAAATACCTAGCCAGCTAGGCTGACTCTGAGGAAGGTCCTGTTAGCCTATAGGTGGATAGAGTAGTACGGGAAAGCAGTATTTTGTGTTTTGTTTGTATGTTTCCCTCCTGAGCAGTTTGTCCCAGGATTAGTGTCCTGTGTTTAGTTCCTTAATAAATCATTACTGACTGACATTGATAGATTTTTTCCCCCCTCCTCTATTTGTCCTAGCATCCACCTCTGCATGTAACAGTTGTTAATACAAATAAAATGAGTTCATCTCTCTCTAGATGTGTACTTACAGTGGTGAGCAAGTTCACTGCCTTTCAAGGCCTGTGGTTAAATTAGATGCCATTAATCTGGGTGTTCCTGCGCAAAGTATGAAAACTGAACTACAATCAGGAATGGGGCTCAGAGGAACCAAGTTAATTTGCTATCTGATAGATGGATGGGTGTCCCTAGATGAACCCTGTTTTAATTTGTATCTGGCTATTTAAGGAGTGTGGACTTCCCTCCCCTGGGGGAATAAAGTATTGCTAGATTTCTAGGATTCAATCTTCTATTAACCTATCAGTTTTTCTAAAAATCAAGTCACTTTTTTTTTTTAGGAATGAAAATAATCTGAATATAATTACTAGTGGTATTGGAACATGAATAGTACTAATGAATGCTCCTTTCTCAATTTGTTTTCACTATTTTAAACTAGATGAGCCAATGGATATGTCAGTGTTATCTGAAGGAGGAGAGTCTTTTCAGAAGAAACTCCAAGGTGATGAGCCAACAGAGATGGAAAACCCCCCTGTCCCCCCTGAGCCCACCATATCACCACAAGCCTCAACACCAGTATCTCAGAGCACACCAGTCTTCACTCCGGGTTCACTTCCTATTCCGTCCCAGCCTGAATTTTCTCATGTGAGTATTGTAGAATAAGTTTTTTCCTCCTGACTTCTTTTTTTAAGCAACTGTATTGAGGTATAATTTACAATCCATAAAACCCACCCATTTAGTGTGTGGCTTAGTGATATTTTAGTAAGCATGCTGCAGTCCATGGGGTTGCAGAGTCAGACGCAACTGAGCGACTGAACAGCAACAAGAGCAGTAGACTTGTGCACCTGTCATGATAATCTAGTTTTAGAACATTTCCAGAGTCACCTAATATCTGATGTACTTTTTATGTTTAAATTTTGAACTATGTCTTTAAACTTCTTGAAATGTTACTTTGAAATTGAAAGGCAGCATTAATCATTATTCTAGCTCAAGGCCACGAACTTCTCACTAAATCAACCCTAGGCTTTCTACCAACTGTTATTAATGAAAATTTCTTTTCAAGATGTTCAAGGGCCTCAACTTCTTTTTGAAGAAACCACTTTTGGGAGCCTCCTGATTTCTAATCTGTGCTATTGCCTTCTATTCCCGGTGCAGAACTATCACCTCCCTTTCATTGTCTTTGGAGATTGTCCTTACCTGTCTTTGTGTTGGATTCCTCTTGGGCTCCATGTGTTTGTGGTTGATTTACGCCCTCATTTTGGTGGAGGACATTCTTTAGTAGCAGACTTTCTTCTCTCATACTTGATTTATAGTTTGTAAGAGTATAGAATTTTATGTTGGAAATAATTTTCCTTTAAACTTTTTGAAAGCATTGCTTCACCATCTTCAAAGTTCCATTGTTGCTGTTGAGAAGTGTGGCCAGTTTGATTTTTGTTTTTAGTATTTATTTATTGATTTGGCTGCATTGGGTCTTAGTTGCACATGGGATCTATATGGTGGCACATGGGTTTAGTTGCCCTGCAGCATATGGAATCTTGGTTCTCCAGCCAGGGATTGAACCTGAATCCCCTGCGTTGCAAGGAGGATTCTTAACCACTCAACCACCGGGCAAGTCCCTGTCCAGTTTGATTTTGATCTTTAATATGTGAGCTGTTATTTTTCCTTACTGGAATCTTGTAAAATTTTCTCTTTATCCCCAGTGTTCTAAAACTTCCAGATCCTTGACATAAGTCTGTTTTTATCTTGTATTCGTTAGTTCTCTCAATCTAGAAAGTCAAGTTGTTCATTTCAGGGACGTTTAATTATTTAATTTCTTTCCCTTTGTTCTTTTTTTTTTTTAATGGAATACTTATTGTTTGGATATTCAAACTCCTAGAATAGTCTTGTAGTTTTATTTTTATTATTTTATGCCCTACTTCCCATCTCTCTGTCTCTCTCCTTTTGTTTAACTTTCTGGATGATTTCCTCAACTGTTTTTTTTTTTTTTTTTAATTAAAAAGCCCCCACTTTATTGAGATTTAACTCACGCACCATATTGTTCAGCCTTTTAAAGTGTACGGTCGGGTAGCTTTTAGTGTAAACTGTGCAGTTATTCATGACAATCTAATTTTATTTTTTTATATAGTCCTTTAGTTTTATTTATTTATTTTTTCCCAATTATTTTTATTAGTTGGAGGCTAATTACTTTACAATATTGTAGTGGTTTTTGTCGTACATTGACATGAATCAGCCATGGATTTACATGTGTTCCCCATCCTGAACCCCCCTCCCACCTCCCTCCCCATCCCATCCCTCTGGGTCTTCCCAGTGCACCAGCCCCAAGCACTTGTCTCATGCATCCAACCTGGGTTGGTGATCTGTTTCACCCTTGATAATATACATGTTTCGATGCTGTTCTCTCAGATCATCCCACCCTCGCCTTCTCCCATAGAGTCCAAAAGTCTGTTCTATACATCTGGGTCTGTTTTTCTGTCTTGCATATAGGGTTATCGTTACCATCTTTCTAAATTCCATATATATGCATTAGTATACTGTATTGGTGTTTATCTTTCTGGCTTCACTCTGTATAATGGACTCCAGTTTTATCCATCTCATTAGAACTGATTCAAATGTATTCTTTTTAATGGCTGAGTAATATTCCATTGTGTTTATGTACCACAGCTTGCTTATCCATTCATCTGCTGAGCATCTAGGTTGCTTCCATGTCCAGCTTTATAAACAGTGCTGTGATGAACATTGGGGTGCACGTGTCTCTTTCAGATCTGGTTTCCTCAGTGTGTGTGCCCAGGAGTGGGATTGTTGGGTTATATGGCAGACAATCTAATTTTAGAACATTTTCATCACACACAGCCCTTCCAATCAAAAGACCCCATGCTAATTAACCGTCATTTCCATTTCCCCTACTCCCAGCCCTAGTCAATCACTAATCTACTTTGTGTCTCTGACTTTGCCTGTTCTGGGTATTTCATATACAGTAAATGAATTACACAATTTGTGATTGGTTTCTTCAGTGTGATCTTTTCACAGTTCATGCATGTTGTGATATGTATTAGAACTTTATTCATTTTTATTTTGAATAATAACTGTGTGTACATACCACATTTTATTCATCCATTTATCAGTTGATGGACATTTGGATTGTTACCCCCTTTTTGGTTATTATAAACAATGCTATGTACATTCATGCACAAGTTTCTCTGTGAATGTGTGTTTTTATTTCTATTATATGTAATCATAATTTATTTCTCTCATTATATATAATTAGGAGTGCAATTACCAGGTTTAACCATCTTTTAACCTTTCTCTGAGCTATTACTTTCTACTCTTGGGTCTTTAATTTCTATACTTTTTTTTTTCTCAAATGTTCTCCCTTTTAAAAAAAGATTAGCATTTTGTCATTTTATGGGTATACTATCTTATCTCCCTAATGATATTAATAGTAGTTTTTGAGAAGTTTTCTCCTTGTAATGGTCACTATTTCTTCAAATAGATTTTAGTTTTGTTAGTTGTATGTTTCACTTTTAAATTAGAGGCTTTCTTCTGATTTAAGAGTGTGATGGTAAATCCTTGATTGTCCGCCTCCTTTAAGAGTGAAATCCTAGAAAACTGATTAGAAGTTCTGAATTAGTGGTTGGTGCTTCTTGTTTCTGGTATTTACTGTAGTGTGATCTGTAGGGCCGTTTCTGGGGTCTCCTAATGTCAGTATCTTGATTTATCTCATCTTGTTCAGGTTCCCTCTTGTCTGCCATTACTTTAGAAATCTACGATGAAAGAGGACTGGGAGTGTTGAGAGACAGGTGTAGGTTCTATTCAATGTAAATTTTCATTTAATCTCCCTATTTCCAGTATGGTACTTTCTAATAACTGCCCCCTGTCCTCCAGTTCAGGGATGTTCTGTTTTACTCTCTAGGGAGGACAAGGGCCAGGGAGAGAGGATCTGGGGATTAAACTGCTTCTTAAATAGATTTCCAGCCAGCCAGTCAGTCCTCCTGATTTTAGCTCTGCCCTCATCACCACTTATGGAGTTACCTGGGCTGCTGCCAAGTCCTGAATCTTTTTTGGGGCATGGTGATTCTGCGGTGTAATTTGGGTTACATCTTAGCTTTCTCCACTGCTGTCTTAGGAATTAAGTTTTCACTAGTCTGCTGAATAGATAACCACGCTTCTAAAATTTTATTGTGGTTATCTTTTCTTCGTGTTCTTTTTCTTCAAAATTTATTTATTTATTTTTAAATTGCTGTACCATTTCCTTAGTGGGATTTTGGAAAAAAGTTAATGTGTGTATTAAATCTGTTGTTTTTATTTGGAAGCTCTCTACTTTTTCATTGTGTATCAAACTCCTTAATGGCTCACCTTTGTACATCTGTTTTTTTTTTCTTTCTGTACATTGGTTACGGGAGTCCAAGTCAACGTAATTTTGATGTTGTAAGATCTGTTTATTTCTAATAAAATGCTTACTAATCAAGAGAAAACTGAGATAAAGGTAATTTCATATATTTCTTTCTTTTTTTCCCTAATATATTTGTTAATTGCATAGCCTTTTTGATCCTTCACCAGGGTGTGAGGGCTGAGGAGAAGATTAGCAGAAAATAGTTTGATATTTAACACTTTCTCATTCTTGATACACATACAGACGATTTTATTAGTGGCTTTTAAACTCTGTGTGAGACCAGTTTTTGACTGCTTGAGTACTATGGATTTAGGTCTGTATTGAGTCTAGACTGGTTGACTCATTGATCGAAGTCCTGACAATTCTTCATTAGTCTTTGTTCAGAGCCCTGAGGGTTTTTTTTTTTCCTTCCACTTAACTTTATTATTCTGACTAAGCTTTCAGAGATTATTAGGGGCCAAATACTAGATCCAGGCAGCCTTTAAGAAATAAAGTTTATTGTTAGGCTGGTTAGCCCCCTGAAAGTTTACTTTGCTGACAGAAATTATACATATGTTGAAAAAATTCTGTAAGAAAATCATGTAAATATTTACTTTGATAACTCTTAAAGCATATTCAGAATGGGGGCAGCTGCTTAATGGGTATGAGATTTCCTTTTGGAGAGATGAAGATGTTTTCAGAGTAGATAGAGGTGGTGGTTGCACATTGTAAATGCTCACTTTGAGGTAGTTATTTTTATATGAGTTTGACTTTCAAAAACAACTGTTATTTATCATTTTATTAGCAATGTCTTATCTATAAGCCTTTGTGAATTGACTTGACTTTTTATTAAAAAAAATACATAATTTCTTATAAAATGGGTGTAACATACAAATAAGTGAAACTAAGATCATCACTTATCCTGTCTCAAATAACTGCTTGTAACTTTTTAATGGTATTTATGTATTATTAATAACTTCAAAAACATGGAAATTATGTAAAAATGTATAGACCACAATAAAATATATATTCATATACTTCTTTAACTAGAAAATGTTTCTATTTAATGCATAGCCTGTTTTTCTATATTTTTTTTAATAGTCATGTACAATTTTAAGTAAGTTATAAAGTCTTTCATTGTGTTAGGTGTATCATAATTTTTATTTATTTATTTATTTTTTTGAAAATCTGCATGCTATTTTATTTCCACTATATAATTTTTAAATGAATCTCCTATCTGTAGATATTTAGGATATTTCATATTGTTTCCTTTTCTAAATAATTTTAGTATTGAACAGCATTGTAGCTAAATCTCAGTGTATTTTCATCAAATAATTTCCTGGAAATGGAATTATTTGACTAAGAAGTATATAAGGTTTCAAGGCTGTTGTGTATTGTCAAATTGCCATTAGAAATGTTGAACCAATTTTATGCAGGAGTATATGTATCTGAAAGGGTAAACAGACCAAACATTGGAATACCAGAAGTTAATGAATGCACAGAATGTTTTCAACATACTTTGATGCTCTTAAAAATCATAGGAAATGAATGCCTTACCAGCTATGTCTAGAGCTTTTTAGCATTTATGTTGAGCAAAAAACACCCTAAATGTAAATTCTTACATAAAAACATTAAGCTTTGAGTTAAATTTTTTTTAAGATGTTATTTACATAAAATGAGACGGCCATTTTAACTGTATAGTTTGATGAATTTTGGCAGTTGTATACAAATGTATAACCATCATCGCCATCGAAGTATGGAGCAGTTTCCTCACCCTAAAAAGCTTCTTCCTAATCCTTTACGGTTGATCCCTCCTCACACCCTCCCGATACCCTCTTCTACCCTGGGCAACCTGTCATCTGTCTTCCGTCACTACAGTTTTGTCTTTTCAAGAATTTCTTATAATTGGAATGATAAGTGTATAATGTTTTGTGTTTGAGTTTTTTAGCCTAGCTAATTTTTGAGATTCATTCACATTCTGGCATGTATTAATATTTTAATCTTTTTTATTGTTGAGTACTATTCTGTGATATGGATATCCCCAATTTATTCACCTCTTGATGAACATTGGGGTTGCTTCTAGTTTTTGGATGTTTGATAACTGCTGTGAACATTTGTGTACACATCTTCGTGTGGACTTACGATTTTATTTCTTTGGGGTTAATAACTACAAGTACAATTTCTGGATCGTATTGTAACACTAATGTATGTTTAGCTTTGTAAGATAGAACCGAACTGTCCTCCTAAGTGGTGGTAGCTTTTGCATTGCCACCAGCAGTTTGACAGTTGTAGTTGTTCCACATCCTCACCAACAGGATGTGATTTTACTCCTGCCTTCAGCCTTCCATATTGGTGTGTAGTGGTGTCTGTTGACTAATGTGATTATCATAAACTTTGCATTTTAACATTTGCTTTGTGAGTGCCAGCACGTTTTGAAATAGTGGGACATGAAATAAGAACAGGCATACCTCATTTCATTGTGCTTTGCAGATAATTTGTTTTTTTACCAATAGAAGATTTGTGGCAATCCAAAACTGTCAGTTGATGTTTAGCATTTAAAAAAATTTTTTTTTAATTAAGGTATGTACATCTTTTAAAGACACAATGCTATTGCACACTTAGACTGCATAGTTTAAACATTTATGTACACTGAGAAACCTAAAAACTTGTGTGACTTGCTTTATTGTGGTGGTCTGGAACTGAACCTGCAGTATCTCTGAGTTACGCCAGTATGTGTTCCCACTTTGTGAGACCTGAAGTGGACTGTGTAGGCTTATGTTCACGTGGTTCTTACATGATTGACAGCCCATCATACAGTGTATGACGTGGTTTTAGTAGTGATATGCAGTAAATTTAAGTGTTTTTCTACCTACTTGAATACTTGTAGGTTTTTGTTTGGATTATGCTTATTCTAGATCAATGATTCACAAGAACAGCATTAAACATTGTCTTGTGTTGATTGAAAAAAAGACTGATGATTATGATTTGTATTTCTGAGGTTATGGCCCTGGAGTTTTAAAATTCTTATGTAATTGATTTAGAAATTTTAGAATTGATGGACTAGATATAAAAGAAACACGATTATGAAGAAATGATTATTTGTCTGTTTTTGTCCTTTAGGATATCTTCATTCCATCTCCAAGTTTGGAAGAACGATCAAATGATGAGAAGAAGGGTAGAGATTTGCATAGTTCATCTTTGACTGTTGAGTGTTCTAAAGCTTCAGAGACTGAACCAAAGAATTCCACTGAGGATCTGGGACTTTCTTTGACAGGGGATTCTTGTAAGTTAATGCTTTCTACAAGTGAGTGTAGCCAGTCCCCAAAGATAGAAAACTTGAGTTCTCACAGGATTGATGAAGATGGAGAAAACACACAGATTGAGGATACTGAACCCATGTCTCCGGTTCTCAATTCTAAACTTGTTCCTGCTGAAAATGATAGTATCCTGATTGATCCTGCACAAGAGGGCCAAGTAGAACTGAATCAGGATGATGATAAAGCAAAGGGGGATAACACAGAAACCAGGGATGACATTAGTATTTTATCTGCCGGTTGCAAAGGCAGAGAAGAACCTGTAGCGGAAGACGTTTGTATTGATCTCACTTGTGATTCAGGTAGTCAGGCAGTTCCCTCTCCAGCTACTCGATCTGAGGCACTCTCAAGTGTGTTAGATCAGGAGGAAGCTATAGAAATTAAAGAACATCATCCAGAGGAGGGGTCTTCAGGGTCTGAGGTGGAAGAAATCCCTGAGACTCCTTGTGAAAGTCAATGCGAGGAGCCCAAAGAAGAAAATACAGAGAGTGTCACATTGCATCTTTCTCTGACTGAAACTCAGTCACAAGGGCTGGGTCTTCGGAAGGAAGTCCCCAAACAAGAATGCCAGGAAGCTATGGAAGTTGAAACCAGTGTGATAAGTATTGATTCTCCCCAGAAGCTTCCAGTACTTGAACAGGAATTGGAACATAAGGATCAGGAAGCATGGGAAGAAGCTACTTCAGAGGACTCGAGTGTTGTCATTGTAGATGTGAAGGAACCATCTCCCAGAGTTGATGTCTCTTCTGAACCTTTAGAGGGAGTGGAGAAATGCTCAGATTCTCAGTCGTGGGAGGATGATGCTCCAGAAATAGAACCGTGTACTGAGAATAGAGCAGATATCCAAGAAGAAAAGAGTGCAGAGTATGAAGGAGATCAGAAATCAGTGACGGCAGAAAAGGAACCTGTAGAGGCAGACTCTTCACAGCCTCCTTTGACCTTAGTGAGAGCAGATGGTACTCCAGGACCTGAGCAGGAAATGCAGCAGACCCAACCACAAGAGAGAACCGATAGCACATTAAGGGAAGACTCAAAAGTGGCTAATGCAGAGCGCGTGGACTCAGGTGTAGAGGCTCCGCAACTGGAGAAAGCCTCTGCCCAGGCTTCACAAAGCTTCTGTGAAAGCTCTAGTGGTAAGTGTGATTGTAAATTGTCCTGTGTTTCCAACCAAAGTATAATTTGGAATGGAAGGTAGGTGAGAACTGCACACTTGTTACATCAGGACTGAAAATGAATTTGGATTTATGTTTGTCAGCAGCCAGTAATTAAAATATGGTTTTTTTTTCTTTTGTAGCTTTAGTTATTTGTGGAATCAGAGACCATTTGAGGTTTTTTATCAGCTTTAGAACTCAGGTGTAATTAGCATGAATTTTCTAAGTAGAAAATTGTACCAATCTGGTATTTTCTACTTAAGTCCCAGCCTTGCTCCATATTTTTATATTTTGACAGTGGCCTTGAAGTACATGGACCTTTTTTGATTACCTTACACAGTTAAATCATGTTCAAAAAAAGCGTGGTGGTCTCTTCCTTACGGGTATTCAGTTTCTAACAGTGGTTCAACGTATATACATCTTAAACCTTTAACTGGGAAAGTTGTAGTTTGTGTGCTTTGTCTATTTTATTTTTTAAAAGTTTCACTTATTTTTGGCTGTTCTGGGTCTTTGTTGCTTTGCTGGGCTTTCAGTAGTTGTGGTGAGCAGGCTTCTCTTGGTGGCTTCTCTTGTTGCAAAGCACTGGCTCTAGGGTGCCTGGGCCTCAGTAGTTCTAGGGTGCTCGGGCCTCAGTAGTTCTAGGGTGCTCGGGCCTCAGTAGTCTAGGGTGCTTGGGCCTCAGTAGTTCTAGGGTGCTCAGGCTTCAGCAGTTTTGGCTCATGGGCTCAATAGTTGTGTCGCCTAGTTGCCCCGCAGCGTGTGGAATCTTCCCAGACCAGGGACTGAACCCGTGTCCCCTGCATTGGCAGGCAGATTCTTAACCACTGGACCACCAGGAAAGTCCCTTTATCTATTTTATACTGTCCAGAATGAGAATAATAGCTTCTTTCTGAAATATTTCTAGAATATCATGTCTGACATTAGCTGAAAAGAATTCAGACTTTCTGAATGCCCGAAGTGTGTATAATTTAAAAACAAAACAAACCAAAAAACCAAAACACAGACTTAAGAAAGCAAGTTTCTAAAGATAATGGAAATGAGAAGCAGTGTTAAGGTAGCATCATGGCTATTAGTATGGGTGATCATACCTTTCGATGTTCCTGATTCTAGTTTATACCTCTTGTCTAGGAGTGATTATTAGTACTTTTTTCATCTCAGAATTGCTCCCTTTCATTAGATTTGATGTTCATATTCCCCCCCCCCTTTTTAGAACAAGAAATGAAAAGGAGCTGAAAAGGAGGTTGGGGGTGTTGGGTTCAGTCTCTTCTTCCTAAAGTCATGTGGCTAGTTAATGATTGAAGTGGGACTAGAACCTCAGTCTCCTGATTCTTAAGTCTGTGCTTTTACCTCCTGTAAAAACCGTATGATATGTGCCTTGTCGCTCAGTCGTGTCCAACTCTGAGAGCCCATGGACTGTAGCCTGCCAGGCTCCTCTTGTCCATGGGGATTCTCCAGGCAAGAATACTGGAGTGGGTTGCCATTTCCTCCTCTAGAGGAATCTCCCCAACCCAGGGATGGAACCCAGGTCACCCGCATTGCAGGTAAGTTCTTTACCATCTGAGCCACCAGGGAAGCCCCGAACTGTATGATACCGTTTTTCTGATTCTGCTGAGTTATGGTAAAGAACTGTCTGAGTGACCTAGTATTCTACATTATTAAAGATTTTTATAGTTTCCTTTTATCTTAAGTACCATTATCAATCTAAGTCATGTTTTGTAGGAAGGTTGCTTTAGTTGTACAGAAAGAATTGTGGGTTGGGGAAAGAGGGAGACTTGAGGCAGGCAAAGTAATTGATAGGCTCTTGTAGTAATCCAGAAATGAGGCTTTGAAGACCAGATAATGGCACTGCTACCTGTATAAACCAATATCTATTAGGTTGTAGTGATGCATCAGATCAGTAGTGCTAAGATAACTTTTCATAAATAATTTTTTGTTAATTCTTGCATATTACATTCGCGTATTGTGGTTTGTCATGTAGAAGGCTCTACTTAAAGATTATATACAGATTTTCAAAAGTCTGAATGGTTGATCATAATATGAAGGATAGTTCCTGTCAAGAGAGAGAACAGGTGGTTGTTCTGGGAATGAAAATTCTGTAAAGTAGTCTTTAGAGTGTATGACGCTTTGTGAAGTGTATTTGTTTTTTAATTTCTGTATCTTTAAGTTCTTTATTAATTTGAAGGACTTACTTTTTAAAGAATTGCCAGGAAATGAATGCTTACCTACCAGCCTGTTTCATTTTGCTATAATTATGGTGGAATTCTTTGCCAGTTAGATGGGACGTTAAGACTTTCCACTTCTGCGCCTCACAGTTTCTTAAGCAGCACATGTGAACTTTTCATCCTTGTGGGAACCTGTGATACAGAGCTGGTTGGTTAGAAGCACAGATAATAGCCTGGACTGTTGATTGGTGTCTGAAGTGGGGGCAGTCTTGTGGGCCTGAGCCTTTAATTTGTGAGATTTGATGCTATCTCTGTTTCCCTGTTGGCGCAGATGGTAAAGAATCTGCCTGCAATGCAGAAGACCTGGGTTGGATTCCTGGGTTGGGAAGATCCCCTGGAGAAGGGAATGGCTAACCACTCCAGCATTCTTCCCTGGAGAAGTCCATGCATATAAGCCTGGTGGTCCACAGTCCAGGGGGTTGCAAAGAGTCAGACAGAACTGAGTGACTAACACTAACTGGGTAGACAGTGTCAGAATTAACTTTGTATGGCACCCACTAAATGTCCCCTGGGAATCAGAGAATTGCTTGGTGATGTGGAAAGGACATTAGACAAACAATTTTCACAAGGCATAGTGACTGGGCAAGCCATATTATAGTTATTCTGAGCCATTCCAGGAAACTAAGTACAACTTTTCACATGCCAGGTTTAAGAATAGCAGTTTGGCATAATTCATTTTTTCTCCCAAATTTAGTCATTTTGTTAAGAGATAAATAGGAATTCATAAAATGTGATTTTGGCCATTTGCTAATTCTGGTTGGAAATTTGGAGTGGAGACCTAGTTAAAAAATAAAGTTTTGTTTCTAGACAAATGTTTGATAATGATCAGTATGTCTACAATGGGAATGCTCATATATGTGAGAGTTACTGTTGCACTGCTGTGGCCTAGAACTAATCAGTACTGCTGAATTTTGAAACCTATATATTTCTTCTAGAACCAATGAGTATTTTGAAGTCCTTTTAGCCCGTGAAATCCTTTGTCTGCTCTTTGAGTAGATTGCAAGTTATAAGTATTAACATCAGACTTTAACGTAGAGAAATCCTTCAGATTGCATTATAAATGAACTCCTTGAGATAACATTACACAAAATTAAGATGTCTGGATTTGAAACCATCCGGCTTACTTCCTGTCTTGGGGCTCAGATGTTTCCATGTTCCTCAGGGCCTCCAAGCTTTTGGGCTTCCTCTGTTTGCCTGCTCCCTAGTTGTCTGCCTTGTGTCAGTTCTGTTGATGAGCAGAGAGAACAGTAGGTCATTGGTTGAGAGGCCTGATGAGGGAGGGGGGTTGGGAATGAGGCAGAATTGGGGAGCAAAGGAAAAGAGTAATTGAGATATTTCTTGCAGTTCTCCTCACTTTGGCCTTTTTTGTACTTCTGTTTTGATTTCCTTTTTGTTTACCATCGGTTTTTTGTTTGTTTGTTTGTTTCTTGCTTTCTCCAGAAACTCCATTTCATTTTACTTTGCCTAAAGAAGGTGATATTATTCCACCATTGACTGGTGCAACTCCACCTCTTATTGGGCACCTAAAATTGGAGCCCAAGAGACACAGTACTCCTATTGGTGAGTGATTAAATGTAATGATGTTTAAAGCAGAATTTCTGCGATACCGTTCTATATGCCAGTGATTCTTTTATATCTGAGGAGTTGGGCCTGCCTGATGATATTGATTTTTGTCTTAGGAAGAATAAGGTTATGGTGTCCGATTCCATGAGTTCACTCCCAGGAAATGTGAGCAGTGATGAGATGAAGGAAAGAAAGGATGCAGTGAAGGAAGGAAGGAAGAATATTTGTGAAGATTTTATTCTGTTACTTACAAGGCCATAGTATCTGAGTGTTAAACAATGGTTTAGAGCTGTTTTATAAGAAAGGGACAGCAGGTAGGGTAGAAATACTGTTTACTTAGGACCCTGGCTAATCAGTCTGCTGCTGCTTGACAGGGCAAGAAAATTTAGACCCTCCTTCGCTGAAGCAGCTAGTAGTCGTCTGCATTAACCTATTTGTTTTCTCTAGTCAGTGCTGGGAGGTAACAGTCATGCCGTCTGGAGTCTCCTGCTACCTATGCCTGATGCTGGCAGATGTGGGTTGGCTGAGGGCTCATGCAGCATCCTTTGTCCAGATGCAGAAGTGGAACTGAATCCTGTTGCTCTTCTTAAGACCAGGTGTCAGTACTAGTGCGTAGTTGTTGATACTTGTGACAGGATCTATCCTAGGAATCCTCTTCAACCCTGCAGAGCTGTGGAGCCAAACAGACAAATTGATGACTTTGAATTGTTATTTTTCATGTTTGTATTTTAGTGTTCTTTCTTTCTTCCCCCTGCCTCCCTTCTTTCAGGTATTAGCAACTATCCAGAAAGCACCATAACAACCAGTGATGTCATGTCGGAAAGCATGGTGGAGACCAACGATCCCATACCTGGGAATGAAAAAGGAGATTCTGGGGCTGCCCCAGAAATGGGTGATCAGTTGTATATGAGAATGAAATTGGTCAGTCCTGAGACTGAGGCAAGTGAAGAGTCTTTGCAGTTTAGCCTGGAAAGTAAGTTTTGTTTATGTTAATCTTGGGTAACTAGTGACTACAGATCTTCTGGAATTATTTTTTTTCTTCTGGTTTTAATGATTGAAACTTTTATAAATGTTATTTGTAAAGTCTTATTTTCATGAATGTTAATTCTTTGTTTTTGCTGGTCACTGTCATGTTAATGAATATGCTCCATTTTATAATCTCTATGGCGCTGCTTGTATCTGTGTTAAACTTGTGTCTGTATAAAGTAATTGGTTTTCATAGTCAGAAATGTCTGAGTTCAGAAGTGACTAGAAAATGTAGGATTGTGGATTCAGGCTGTAGGTTTAAGTTGACTTTCCCACATTAATTGCAAGTTGTTTGGTATGGCTGGAATACAGAGAAGGTACAAGGGAATGGCTGCAAAGTCAGGACTGGATTCTGAAAAGCCTTTTACATCTTGCAGAAAAGCTGAAGAATTTTAAGCAGGGGAGTAATATGGTCAGATTTGATTCTTTTAAAGGATCAGTTGATTGTTTGAAAAATTTGTGCATCGTTCCTTTCCTTGCCCATTTTCTGTTCTGCTGCCTGGCAAATGCAGTCTTTAACCAGGAAGTGGGATCATTAGTGGTGGGACAGAGATGAGGGGATGAATTTGAGAGATGAATAGCAGAATAGAGGGTATCTTGGGACCAGTTAAATATGGAAATGATACAATAAAAAATATAGAATGACTTTGCATCCATATTTTGTTTTCATGATAGCACTCTGTAGTAAATCTCTTTATTTCCATTTTGTTGATGAGAAAACTGAGACTAAGAGGTTTTAAACCTGCTGTTACAGTAATTGGTAAGAGGTGGAGCAGGAGTTTCAATCAGATCCATCTGACTCTAAAGCTTGTAATTCTTCCACTAGTAAGTTTGTAAATGGGGTTTAATGGAGTTAGGAGAGGAAAAAGTTTTATCAAGGAGATTGTAAAGGAATATTCCTCTAGATAAGGAGAATGTTCCTTATCTTAGATAAGGAAGTTCCTAGACTAGAGGGCTAGGAAAGTATAAAGCCATGGAAGCCTGTGAGGAGGAGAGTTAAAAGAAAATGTCACATGCAGAAGTGAGGTCTAGAAAGATATATCTGGAAATGTACATTAGACTTGGCAGTTAGGATCCATTGGGTGACTCTAGAAAGAACTATTTCAGTCCAGTGGTTTGGGTGGGACCTGTACTGGCGGTAATTGAGGAGTAAAGGGGAGGAGAAGAGGCAGCAAATGTATTCTACTTTGGAGAAGTTTATGTAAGAAAGGAAGAGAAAATAACAGCAAGTTAGAGGGGAATATAGAACTGAAGGAGGTTGTATTTTTTTTTTTTTTAGGCTGAGGGATACCTAAGCAGGTTTAGAGATTGAAAGGAAATCTCCAAAGGGGAAATGGGTTAAAAATGAGATTCTTGAGAGAGAGAGAGAGAGAGAGAGATGAAAGGGGAGTTTTCAAAGACTGCAGATAGAGTGGGTGGACCTGATAAGAGCTCTGATTCTATGAGATTGAAGAAAAATTTTAGCTATGTATTTTGAATTCTTAGTATATGCCACCTATATATGTCATACATGTACAGCTCATTAAAACTGATAACAAACCTGTAAAGTAGATCCTATTGTTATCCTCATTTCATAGGTAAGGAAACTGAGGCACAGAAAGGTTGAGCGTGTTCCCTAGAGTCACACAGCTAGTAAATGAAGTAGCCTGAATGCAAAGTAGTTCCAAGAACCAGAAGTCTGGTTCTGAATTAGAGTGCAGTTCTGCTTCTCAGTGCTTATTGATTTGAAAATTTAGAACCTCAGTAGAAATAAAGTATAGCATGTTTTCATCATTATTGTCATCTTCTCTGAAATCAGATAGGACTTAGCAAGAGAGTACATGATAGCTTTGAATCTTTAGATTTGAAGTTACAATTGGGAAGACCTTAAATGGGCTTCCCTGGTGGCTCAGAGGTTAAAGTGTCTGCCTCCAATGCGGGAGACCCGGGTTTGATCCCTGGGTTCGATCCCTGGGTTGGGAAGATCCCCTGGAGAAGGAAATGGCAACTCGCTCCAGTATTCTTGCCTGGAGAATCCCATGGTCGGAGGAGCCTGGTGGGCTGCAGTTCATGGGGTCACAAAGAGTCGGACACAACTGAGCGACTTCACTTTCACTTTAAATGGAGCTAAATATTAAAGATGACCATATTAGTAAATTTTGCTACCTTTCCTGGTAATCGGGCACCATACTAATAGTTTTCCCCATTTTATCCTCACAACAAACCTTTGAGGGTTGGTCGTGTAGCTTGTGGGATCTTAGTTCCCAGACCAGGGTTGAACCCCAGTCCACAGCAGTGGAAGTGCAGTCTTAACCACCAGACCCCCAGGAGTCCCTGGGTTGGTCCTATTTTGTCTTTATTTTATAGATGAGGAAACTGACTCAAGATGAAGTTTCCCCGGCTTGGACGGCTCGCTCAGTGCTGGAGCCAGGGCCTGAGCCAGGTTTCTGTTTCAGAGCCAGGCCTCTGACCACCAAGCTTCAGCTGCCTCCTTGATGAACTATTCAAATTATATTGAGTTATGACTGTTTTAGAAATGTTTTAAAGTATTTATTGTTTTTTCTAAGGCTAGAGCTAATGGTAAATGAACACATTTTAATCCTGTGGCATTGCTTTGAGAATATAGAATTTTTTTCAGTATGACCTTTAATTTTTTACTACAGGTTCTTTCTTGAAATTGTGTTTTATTTTTCAAATATCTGTCCCAAGAGCTCTTTGGGAAGAATTTGAGTACCTTCTGTGTGTGGGTTCTCTTAACACTATTTAAAATTTGTGCAATTTTCCTGCATAATTACTAAAGTTTTTTCTTTTTAAAAAGATTTTATTGAAGTAGAGATGAACTACAATGTTGTGTTAGTTTCAGATTTATAAACGTTCTCAGAAGTTTCTTTAAATTTGTTTTGAAAATTTTAAATAGAATTTTTTTTACTACATTTTTTTTTACTTATGTGAGAAGAGGTGAATTGAAATTCAGAAATTACATTTTCATTTTTAAATCTTACTTCTTAGTAATTCATTATATTGTATTTCTGGAGAAACTGAGTGGTCAAAATCGGTGGAAGTGAGAAAGACATGTCATTAAATGATAAATCTTTTCATGTTCACTTTTTATTCTTATTTCCTTTTTATTATTTGTTGCAAATACTAGTAGATCAGGTTTTTATTTTTACGATTTTTTTTTAATGTCATAGTGAAAAGAGGCCTTCAATAGCTTCAGAAATTCAAGCATTATTTTAGAGTATCATTGGGGCTGAGCAGGTTTTTAAGAGATGGTCTTAAGGTATGATACTGAATTCTGTTTCTCTTTCCTTTCTTTTGTTTTTATTCAGAGCCAGCAACTGGTGAAAGAAAAAATGGATCTACTGCTGTTGCTGAGGCTGTTGCCAGGTAACCAGAGCTGGTTGCTATTTAGAGGAGTTTAATATACAAAGCCACTGGTAATGAGGGAAAGATAATTTATCAAGAGAGGAAAAAAATTTGAAATGAAACTTGAGCATAAACCATGTAGCAGTGTGTTGAATCTAACCGTAGGCTTTCTTATTAATACTTTAATAAAACTTTTGCTGTATTTAGAACTAAGATATTTAATGGTGTTTCCCTTTCTTCCTTTCGTTCATGTGAGAGTGCCTTTTTTCTTTTACTGCGTGTGAGATTGAGATTGTTGTTACTGTTGGTGAGGAAACGGGAAGTTAACACTAGGTAGCCATAGACCTTATTCTTTCTGAGGGTTGCCCTTGGCAGCCTTAGCCTCAGGCCATATTCTCTTCTGCTTGCCAAATTAGCTACAGTCCTGTTGTTTTTGCTTTGTCACCAGCGCTGTCATAGTTTGAATATGACCCCATCCTGAGGCTCTGGTGGTAAGCTTTGCCATCTGGTGGCCATGAGAATAGAATTGTTTCATTGGTTTCTTGTGTGAGTCATCCAATATGAAAATACTAACAGTGGTTGTTGAAGTATAGGTGAGGATTCTTAAATCAGGCTAGACAGGTGCTATAAATAAGTAAAGCAGTCTAGGTGCAAGAGCATGAAATGTTGACGACGATGGCCTACTGATCGTGTGTCTCATTTTAAAGGGGGGTAGCCTGTATTCATTTCCAGCCAGTCATTACCATGCAGACTTACTGTTGTGAAATCTTTAAATTTTTAAAGAGAAATCTGAATTTTTTTAATTAAATACTCCAAAATAAATGTTTATTAAAACTATAATTAACAGATTTATACATACAACACATTTACTCCATTTTGTAAACATACAATCACTATGTCACATTAAATAACAACGTGCTGCTGGACACAGTCAGGTATCCTGTGGCCTGAATTTTTAAAAGTAAAATTTCCTGCTTGGTGGGTTACCTAACATTGTTGTTGACTAAGTTGTTTGTGGACTAAATTTGATCCTCAGTTGTAAGTGTCTCATCCATCTAAATCCTTTGATTTGTGCTAAGCTATGTCTAGAGAGATTAATTATTTTGTTTTTTTACATATTTAATTTGAAAGGTAAGTACCTTTGACTCCTTATTAGTTGAAGATTCTTTAATGTTGTGTTGAAGAAAGTGGAGTTTATACTTGATCTTTCAGTTTTAACAAAATTGTTAAACTCTGCACAACTTGTTATCACTTTGTACATGTACTTGTTAAGAGGAAACAGTATATGCTGCTGAAACTTTCTGGACCCTTTGGGTGAAATGTAGGGGTGGAAAAATAGGGAAAAACCTGAGGCAGAGGGTTGGATTGGAGGATCCACAGAATGAGATTCAGTGATATTGTTGTGAAGCAAATTTTATATAGGAGAATCCAGATTTTAAGAATCTTTGACTTTACCTTTGGGTTCACCATAGTTTAAAGTAAGCTCTGTTTGGTTCAGTTCAATCGTTCAGTTGTGTCCCACTCTGCGACCCTATGGACTGCAGCATGCCAGGCTTCCCTGTCCAACAACTCCAGAGCGTGCTCAAACTCATGTCCATTGAGTTGGTGATGGACTCTGTTAGTGTAGTTTAAATGCCGTCTCTGTGTTTAGGTGAAGCAGTACCACTCTGTTTTTAAGTGTTGTCTGTAGCTGGACACTGTTCAGATTGCTTGCTTCCATCTTGTCTCTCACACATTTCATTATTGAAGATTTTATGCATATACAAAAGTAAAGAGAATAGTATCATGACCTACCATGTATTCATCACCCAGGGTCAAAAATTACCAATTTATGGCTAGTCTTGATTCATTTATAAATGCTTCCCACACTGTCCACTCCACTGGATTTTTTAAAAGCTAATTCTAGCATTGTATCATTTTTATCTGTAAATATTTCAATGCTATCTCTAAAAGATAAGAATTCTTTAATTTGAATTTAACCACAGTATTATTATCATGCTTTTGAAGTTGGCATTGATTCCTAATGTCATCAGATATTTGGTACTCAGATTTTTCAGATTCAGAAAAAGAATTTTATTCTCTCTGTACCTAAAAGGATAATTTCCAGAGAGGTACTTTTCCTTTCACAATTAACACAGTGTATTGCTTTAATTTATTTCTTAGTTCCCAGAAGACCATGTCTGTGTTTAGCTGTGTCTGTGAAGCCCAGCAAGAGGATGAGGCTCGAAGTCAGAAATCCTCCTCTGCACCCATCAGGCGAGCATTATTTTCATAGCATCTTTTGGGCTATATGGATTCACAAAATGATTGGTAGCAAAATCTAGAATATACTGCTGCTGTTTTGTGAACTTGAGCTTACTGTTTTATTTGAGGGACTGTAACATATTCTAGGTAAATTTATAAATGAGGTGTCATGAGTTTTATTAGATATTTTATAGATAGATTTTTGTCTTTATCTGCTAGTTCTATCAATTTAAAATGATTCAGTCTTCACAGCTTATAAAAATATATGATCCTGAATTTCTAAGATTATTCTCTTTTACTTAGTTTTGGACATGTTTACTTTTAACAGAATTTTTATTTTCTATTAGTTTCCCATACAGCAAAACTGGGATGTTTGACAGCTCAAATTTAAAGTTTATCAGGCTTGATGGAATTAAAATTTTCCAGTAATTTCTTTACTCCATTATCTCTTAGAACAGCTTGAAGCTTGGAAAAATTTTTTGAGTTAAAAAGTATTTCTTCTATGTTAGAAAAATATCTTGTTTGAAATGTGTGGTTGTTAAATTTCCTGTAGGAGAAATAAGTAATGGCAGTGGATTGAGTTTGTATCTTCATTAGGAATTTTGTATCTAGAATTCAGTAATTTGTAATTAGCTACTATAATAATGTTTTGTCATCAGGTATATTCTTAATATTGTTATTTGCAACATAATTTTTTTTTTTTTTTTTTTTTTTTTGCTGTCTCTAGCTTGTGGGGGGTCTTAGTTCTCCAACCAGGGATTGAACCTACACTCTTTGCACTGGAGTCCTAATTCCCTGCAATATAATTTATGTGTTCCTTATTGGTAGAAATATTTAAGAGAAGCACATCAGTGCTTCTACTATAAACATTCTGATGATTACATGTGAACTTGTTGGTATTCTTGGGAATCAGATAGTCCAGACCACATCCTTTATTTTATCAGGAAACTTGTTAGGTGAAGTACCACCTTGTATGGTTTCAAAAGTAGTGTGGTCTTGTCCCAGCAATTAGGAAATTTATTGATTGCATTGCCTTCCTATTTTATTAGATGGTTTATAATAGGCTAGGATGCTGGTGATTTTTGTTTAACCTTGATGGAAGAAGGGCCTGAGAATTCAGGTGATCTTGTTTCCAGTTCCCCCTCAGACAGACCTACCTACGCTGAGAACAGAATGGTTAGACATTTATTAAATATGGAGGTTTATTCTTCCACATTTCACTTTGGATTAATTTTACCCAGGCTTTTTCTGCTATAATTTGCTTTTTTTTGGCTTCAGTTTCTAAACTAACATATAGTGACCATAGTAGAATTGTGTAGCTGAAACTAATGAAGAAAGGGAAGTGTGGTTCTTCTTAAAATTATTGACTTTCTTTTGTCTGTCTCTTTTCTGGTGCTAAAATTTTCTTCTTTATTGTTTTGTGGGAGATTTAATATACACATCTTTGTGATTGATGTTTCTTGGAGGAAGGTGTGATTTGCACATCCTTTATTTGATGCTAACACGAGAGAAATGAGTAACAAAATTCTGATACTTGACTGGAATCTGCTGAATGTTGCTGCTGTTGCAATGAGATACCTTTAGTCTTTAGAGAGAGAGGAATTGTTCTGATTAACAGTTTTGGGGGGAAAGGCAGCCTGTTATTTGTCAAATTAGGAATTAAAAAGTCAAAAATAAAATGAAGCTTTGTTTTAAAACTGAAATTCTATTCAGAAGTTCTGCCCTAAATAAATAGTTTATGAGGTAAAATGTCTAGGCTTGTTTAGGGGTGGGAACAATATAATTGAATTCTTAAAATGGTAAATCAAATCCCATCCCTTCTAGCTTTTGGCTCAGTTTTATTATTGCTTAGGTGTTGATATGTTAGATGTCTTAAAGATTCAAATGTGTATTCAGTCCATGCTTTGTCATATGCAGCTAATACTGATTGAGCATCTGCTGTGTATCTAGCACTCTGCTAAGTAATTTGTATGTATGTTCACTTATAAACCAGGTTGGTGTTGCTCATCAGTCTTCTGGTGATTTTACTCTTACCTGTTCTTTACTGGGCTATATATCCTCATTCAGTTGAGGTTCCTGACAGATAGGACCCAAGTTCTTAACAACCAATTGCATTGAATATACCAGGCTCTCTTTGGCCAGATCTCTCTTGTAAACCCTGCTTTGATCTCCTGTTTTGGTAATCTGTGCTATACAAGATAGAAACCTCAGAAATGTCTCCTTTTTCCTTTCTTCTCCAAGATGCAGAGCAAGCCCTAAAGAACTCTTCATGCTTCCCTTTTCTGTCTGCCCAGGTCCGTTCAGCTTCTTAGGGTGAGAGCTCCTCCCAAGTTGGAGACAGCTTTTTCTGTCTAGATGGCTACCTCTATCTTTCTGTGGCCAAACACTTACAGCAGCAAGATACATAGTTTCTAGACCGTTTGTCACCCTGAATTTATCTTCTGGGTATATCTCCATTTATGCTTTGTCAAACATGGCAGCCTGAAACATTCCAGATGTCTTTCCATGATTAGTGCAGAATGGATTCTTTTTGTTGTCTTTATTCTGGTGGTGGATCTTCCCAACCCAAAGATTGAACCCAGGTCTCCTGCATTGCAAGCAGAGTCTTACTGTCTGAGCCATGAGGAAAGCCCTTATTCTGGTGTGTGTGTGCACGCACATGCGCGCACGCGTGTGGTCTTCGTTGCTACTCATGGGCTTTCTCTAGTTGCAGGCAGCAGGAGCTACTCTTACGTGCGGGCTTCTTATTGCAGTGGCTTCTCTAGATGCGGAGCGTGGGCTGTAGGTGCACAGGATTCAGTAGTTGTGGCTCATGGGCTTAGTTGCTGCACGGCATGTGGGATCTTTCTGGACCAGGAATAGAACCTGTGTCCCTTGTATTGGCAGGGGCATTCTTTACCACTGGACCACCAGGGAATCCTGAGCCTACTGTGTATTTAATGGAATCTAAAATTGCATTAGTATGTTGTTTTTCATAGTACAGTAACTCACTGAATTTATGACTTATTTATTTTTTTTTTATTTTAAATTTATGTTTTAATTGAAAGATAACCGCTTTACAGAATTGTGTTAGTTTCTGCCAAACATCAACATGAATCAGCCATAGGTATACATATGTCCCCTCCCTTCCACCTCCCTCCCCATCCCACGCCTCTAGGTTGTTCAGTTCATTTCAGTTGCTCAGTCGTGTCTGACTCTTTGCAACCCCATGAATCGCAGCACGCCAGGCCTCCCTGTCCATCACCAACTCCCAGAGTCTACTCAAACCCATGTCCATCAAGTCGGTGATGCCATCCAGCCATCTCATCCTCTGTCATCCCCTTCTCCTCCTGCCCCCAATCCCTCCCAGCATCAGGGTCTTTTCCAATGAGTCAGCTCTTTGCATGAGGTGGCCGAAGTACTGGAGTTTCAGCTTCAGTATCAGTCCTTCCAATGAACAGCCAGGACTGATCTCCTTTAGGATGGACTGGTTGGATCTCCTTGCAGTCCAAGGGACTCTCAAGAGTCTTCTCCAACACCACAGTTCAAAAGCATCAATTTTTCGGTGCTCAGCTTTCTTCACAGAGCCCCAATTTGAGTTCCCTGCATCATACAGCAAATTCTCATTGGCTATCTATTTTACATATAGTAATGAAAGTTTCCATGTTACTATCTCTGTACATCCCATCCTCTCCTTCCTCCCCCAACCCTGTGTCCATAAGTCTGTTCTCTATGTCTGTGTCTCCATTGCTGCCCTGCAAATAGTTTCATCAGTACCACCGTTCTAGATTCCTTGTATATGCATTAATATACAACATTTATTTTTCTCTTTCTGACTTAATTCACTCTGTATAATAGGCTCTAGGTTCATCGACCTCATTAGAACTGACTCAAATGTGTTCCTTTTTATGGCTGAGTAATGTTCCATTGTGCATATGTACCACAGCTTCTTTATCCATTCGTCTGTCAGTGGGCATCTAGGTTGCTTCCATGTTCTAGCTATTGTAGATAGTGCTGCAGTAAACATTGGGGTACATGTATCTTTTCCAGTTTTGGCTTCCTCAGATTGTATGCTTGGTAGTAGGATTGCTGGGTCCATATGGTAGTTTTATTCCTAATTTTCTAAGGAGTGTCCACACTGTTCTCCATTGTGGCTGTATCAACTTACATTCCCACCAACAGTGCAAGAGGGTTCCCATTTCTCCACATCCTCTCCAGCGTTTATTGTTTGTAGATTTTTTGATGTTGGCCATTCTGACTGGTGTGAGGTGATACCTCATTGTAGTTTTTGATTTGCATTTCTCTCGTAATGAGTGATGTTGAGCATCTTTTCATGTGTTTGTTAGCCATCTGTATATCTTCTTTGGAGAAATGTCTACTTAGGTGTTTTTCCTACTTTTTGATTGGGTTGTTTGGTTTTCTGATATGAGTTGTATGAGCTGCTTATATATTTTGTAAATTAATCCTTTGTCAGTTGTTTCATTTGCTATTATTTTCTCCCATTCTGAAGATTGTCTTTTTACCTTGTTTATAGTTGCCTTTGCTGTGTAAAATCTTTTAAGTTTAATTAGGATCCACTTGTTTATTTTTGTTTTCATTTCCATTACTCTAGGAGGTCGATCACAAGGGATCTTGCTGTAATTTATGTCATGGAGTCTAAACTTATGATTTATTAAATAGATATTATGAACATTTTCTAGATGAACACAGTTATATTAAATACAATTAGTTTATTTAATCTGTAAGTAGATTTTTGCAGTAAATTGATTGTGAGAACATTCTTTTGTTGAAAGTGAATTTATTAAGCGCTTACTTTGAGCCTCAGGGCTTCATGGTATCTGGTTTGTAGGAGACATTTATCAAATGCTTGTGGGATGTATAAATAAATCACTGATAGCCCAATGGGAAGATTAATGAAAAGGAATACTCTGAAGAACTGAATCATTCTGAAATGGTTTGTTGTAGATACTGCCAGTATAGCTAGCAAAACTAGAATCTCACCTACAACTCTTTCCTTTAAAGATTGGGTTTCTTTTCCTAAAATTATTAGTCAAGGGGGTAATGAACAGTATCTAGATTGCTAGGAGTCATTTAAGGAATGTTGGAACCATTAATAAAGCCAAATGAGACATCTCGACCTAGTTGCTCTCTTTTAAGGTAGATTCCTAAATTGCCCCCATTGTCTGTGGCTTCAGTAATGGTTTACATCTTTTCTTGACCTTATTTTCCTCTGTCAGGTTTCAGAATTCCTCTCCGTAGCTAATGGAGAGGAGAAATACTGTGGCTATTTTACTGTCATAGTGGACTAATCCTGTGTACCATTATTTTTTCACAGGAATGAAATTATGATGAGAAATCTTGTAAGGTGATATACTTGGTCACCTTATTTTCACCCTTCCCTGCATTTCTCAGATCATCAAATTATGGTTTCTCCCTTGACACACACACACAGTCACCTTATTTTCACCCTACACACACACACACTCTTACTTGATTTTTTTTTTTTTAAACGTGGTTTCTTTATGTGCTTCATTTACAGGGGAAACTTGCTCCATTTTCCGAGTACTCACGATGATGAGGAGAGGGGAAAGTTCGACGGTGACCAAGGGACCAGGCAGAGTCAACAGCCCGTGAAGCCTAGTAGTCCTGCCAGAGAGCCTGCTGCTCCCCGCTCCCGGCAGCTGGCCACACAGGAGCCCTCCAGCCCTCGAGGGGAAGCAATGGAGATAGATCAGCCAGGGGGCCAGGAGGGAGAATGGAGTCCCAGGCAGGAGAAACCTAGTAAGGCCTTGATTGCAAGGCCCAGCCAAAATAACGTAGGGATCCAGACCATAGAACGTTCCCTGTGGGTCCCAGAAACTGTTTCAGCAGCGACTCAGACTGTACAGAATGTGTGTGAACAAGGGACCAGTACAGTGGACCAGAACTCTGGAAGACAGGACGCCACAGTTCAGACTGAGAAGGGGACTGGCGAGAGACCGGTCAGTGCTCCTGGGGATGACACGGAGTCGCTCCACAGCCAGGTGAGAGCGCGCAGGGTACCTCAGGGGCCCTGAGAACTGAAGCTGTGCTCCTTCTGCTTAACAGTAATTCTTAACAGTTTTATACAGACCAGTGGTTAAAAGACAGAAACAGTTTATCCGGGATGAGAGACAGGGTGGTGGAGATTATGAGTAGCTATAGCCAAAGACTATTTATATAGTCTTTGGTGTTAAGAGTTTGTGAACCTAGGTCTTTACTGGATGAGAAAGCCAGGAGTATAGTTTGGGTCCTGTGATATTTTTCTATATTCAGTCTTCTTCTGTCATTTTTCATTCTTCTTTATAACCATCAGAGCTAACTGCTTCTCCCCCAAGTTGATTTCACTATGGTTTCCAGAAGGAGTAGAAGACGTGTGAAGGATAGCATATCACAGTATTGGAAACAGCAGTAACAGGGAAAGTTCCCAGGTAACCAGGGACTGCAGAAAGAGGCTAAGAATAGATACAGTGGAAAGAAAAGTATTGGGGCTGATGAACGTGAGACTGGAAGAACAGGTTTTTGGAAATAGAGTAGGGATGTGTAGGAACTAGTGAAAATTGAGGGGTAAGAAGTGGTGGTAGTAATGTACATGCTAACAAGAAGAAGTTCATAAAATTTCATTAGTAACCATGGTTAAATTGCCTTTTCAGTAGAGCATCATCACTTGAAATCTGCCTGGGAAAGCTGTGCTAGTGATGTACTTCTCATTTGAATGGTCCAGGTTGTTTGTTTTATAAAAATAATATAGTTCCTATTTATTGAACACCTACAGTATATCAGCACTGTGCTCAAGACAACCCATGAGGTTGGTATTGTTATTCCCATTTCACAGGTAAAGAAACCAAGCTGAAGAGAGGTTAAGTAACTTGCCCAAGATTTTGCCATCAGTAGGTGGCAGAACTGGAATTTGAACTCAGCATATCTGACTTCAGAATCGGTATTCTTTTCATTATGCTATGTTGCTTTTCTATTTTTTAATCATAGCTTGTGTAGTCTTGTTCTGTTTATCCGTGCCTCTACATTAGCCTTTAATACTAACACTCTCTGAGACCTAAGACCTTAACAGTTCATACAGATTCAAAATAACATAGCCTTTTGGATATAGGAGCTGTAGCACATCAGATCCTATTTTGCAGCTGTTTATTTTCACCCTTAATTCAAAGTGGTTGTATTCTGCCACATAATAATTTGGTTTCTCTGCCTTCATAACGAGGGTTAAAACTTGCATCTTAAAGACAGCAATCACATGAGCGCCACTAGATTGTGTCTTTCTTTACTTCCTCATATTCTCCTTCTGTCAACTAGGGCAATAATTCCTGCTCCTGTGTCGTGACGATGAGGAGCCAGTGAGTGAGCCATAGTAGTTAAGGCCCAGGCTTTGGAGTTAGACGTCATCTAGATGTCTTGAAAGTTGAATGAGATTACGTTTGCAAAGCCCTTAGTGCTGGGTATGACACATAGTAAATGCTCAGTCTGTACTGGCTGCTGCTACAACCTATTGATTATTGTTCTAAACACCACTACTGCAGCTGTTACCAACACAGCCATTACTTGCCCTATGCTACTGCTGTGTCATGCAGAGAGAAACAGCACATTTAAAAGCTAGTTCCTCCTGCCAAGGAAAGAAGAGTGCTCAAAGATATAAATAGGGGATGGCTACAGAGTTTCAGTTGGGAAAGATAAAGAGTTATGGAGAAATGGATACAGTGATGTTTGTGAAAGTGTGAATGTACATAATGCTACAAACTGTATATTTAAAAGTGGTTAAAGTCAATAATTTTTACGTTAATTATATTTTACCACAATAAAAAAATATAAATGATGGGTACTGTAACAGGAATTGGGATTGGTATGCCATCTTTTGAAGAGTGATTAGAAAACGTAAGGCTGTATGGACATTTGAATGTCGGTGCTTTTTTATCTCCTGCAGTCTGGGTAGGACTCAGGTCAGGCTCAGAGAAGCATAGGCAGCCTACCTTTGACATTCCTTAAATTTCCGTTTGTCAGGTGGGCCTGCAGCCAGGTTTTCTGTGACGTGAAAGTGTGGCTTTATTTTCATTTTGTCTTCCCTTAATTATAACAAGATCCTCAAGTTACGTATCTTTACAGAAACCTCTTTTTAGAATACCATTGGAAGAGGGTAAGCGTAACTTTCTTTTTATCTGCTCTCTTTCCCTTCTCTCCTTTCTTACTCCCCTAGACATGTTTATTTAGGTATTTCTTTTGATGTGATCATTTACCTGGCTGTTGTAATGGAAGACTACAGGGAGGTTTTTGGCTGGATTTTAAGGATACGTAAAGCACACCGAAAGCTTTTAGACTTCTGTGATGGAGGGCCTCATCACTGTGTGGGCAGCTGTCAGGTCCAGGCTGCTATGGTTCTTACGCAGGGGCACCCTGGTGACCGGTGTGTGACAGACCAGTACCTTGACCATTGTTAACCAGAGTTGTTTGTATAGCCAGAAGTATTTTAAGGAATTGGTTGAATTAAGTTTCCATGCACTTTATTTGTATTTATTCACATAATTTTCGTAGATATTTCACCCTAACATGAAGTTGGACTGGGAATTCTTCAGATAAATTACTTTAGGTAAATTACTACCACACTGTAATGAAAAATCAAGCTCATCGTTAGAGCGGTGGCGCATGTAACTCTTCTGAAGGACACTTGACACTGACGCTGACCTTGACACTGATTGCGGAAAGTAGTATCAGTCTACTGTGGGAGAAAGAAGCATGTGTTTCCTTTCACAGTTACAGAGCTGTGGTGTCGAAGGGGTGGGGTTGTGGGTGTGGATGAATGTGATACAGATGTTATGAGAAAACATGTATGTAATAGTCATAAAAATGTAAGGTCTCATTTAAACTATGTAACTGATTATTGTTTAGAATTTGGTTATCTAGTATCATAATTTTGCTAATATCCTGTTTCTGGACACTAGCTCAACTCTTTAGTTACAATCTATTATTTGGAATACATTAAATATTTCATATTTAATTTTAGGAGAAATCAATGTGTCTTGCTCCATGAATAAATATACCATAATTTTCACTTACTAATGCAGGAAAAACAGACTGCACTGAGATTTTCAGATCTTATTCTGTTTTATATAAAGTTCTAAAGAATGCCTTTCTTTTATCTGAAGACCTCTTGCAAGTATAAATTGTATGCTGATTGATAATCAGCAACAGAATCAGAAGGATTACAATCTCTAATGTGCTTTTAGGGGATCAAAATATCACTTAAAAATCCTAGATATAAATGCTAGATGTTATGATTTTGATTTAGACTGAAATAGGGTGTTAGGTGAAACCCATGCAAACTCCTCTCACTAGACAGCTGGCCCATCTCTAGTGTTACCCCTAAGTGAATAGAAACAAGGCAGCTGGAAAATGCCATCACGCAAGATTCATGGAACCTGTGAACAGTGCTCATCGTGAAGAGGTTGACTTGTGAGTCTGCCAGTTTGCAGTGAGACTCATGCCTGTACGCTGTTTTCTGCCATAGGGAGAGGAAGAGTTTGATATGCCTCAGCCCCCGCACGGCCATGTTTTGCATCGCCACATGAGAACAATTCGTGAGGTGCGCACGCTTGTCACTCGTGTCATCACAGACGTGTATTATGTGGATGGAACAGAAGTAGAAAGAAAAGTAACTGAGGTAATACATACTTTGGGTCTATGTGGCAGATTTCTTTCAATAGAAAAATTACCCTGGTTTTCTGCCTCCATCCCTCTTCCCTATGCAGCTAGCTGCTGATGCTTCGTTTCCCTTCCTCCTCCTGTGAGAAAGATTTAAGAAGTGGGTTAGAGTTCTGCTTTTCCCAACCATGGGTTTGCTGTCTGACCTTTGGTCATTTAACCAGTCCCATCATGCTTTCCATATCTATAGAGAACAGAGTGGTGATTCTCTGTCATGTATAAAGATTTTATGTGTTATTTTTAATCCTTGGAAACTAATGAAGTTTAGAATCTCCTGCTTAGCAGCATGTATTTTCTCATTGTTTCTTACCGTTTTCTCACGTTACCATTTTTTACTCATTGATCTTGGTCTCCATCCATGTGTGGTTATGAGCCTGTTAGTATTAGTTATTTTTTAGTAGAATTCACCATGAACGCATTGCCAGTGTCAGTGGAATATTGATGTTTATTGACTGTTACAGTGGACAGTGTTGTATGCTGACTTTGTTTAGATCTAACAGTGGCTGAGGTTAGATTTTCTAGAATTAAAGATCTGGCACTTTTTTTCTTGGTACATATGTTAATATCCGATATATATGTTAATGTTCTTATTTAATCACTTAGTCATGTCTGACTCTTGTGCAGCCCCATGGACTGTAGCCCTCCAGGCTCCTCTGTCCATGAAGTTTCCCAGGCAAGAATACTGGAGTGCGTTGCCATTTCCTTCCCCAGGTGATCTTCCTGTCCAGGGATCGAACCCATTTGCATTGGCAGGTGAATTTTTTTACCACTGAGCCACCAGGGAAACCCACATATGTGTACATCCAATGATAAAATATTATGTTTACTTTTTAAATATTTATTTATGTGATACACAGGGCCTTTGTTGCTGCTCGTGGGCCTTTCTGGTTGTGGCATGTGGAGGCTGCTCTTCGTTCTGGGGGTTTCTCTTACTGCAGAGCGTGGGCTCTAGGGCCTGCGGGCCTCAGCAGGTGCGGCTTAAGGGCTCGACAGTGCGGCCTCGGCCGTGGCGTGCAGGCTTCGTTGCTCTGTAGCGTGTGGGCTCCTCCGGGATCGGGCTTGGAACCCGTGTTCCCGGCACTGGCAGGCGGACTCTTAACCCCTGGAACACTGGGGAGGGTCCTCCAGGAACCATTTTAGTAATTGACAGGAGGCATAGCTAATGTTATTCCTTAGTCAAGCGCTTTTCTTTAATTCTGGCAGCTAGCCATATAGGAGATTGTGCTCTGGGAGAATTAAACTGGTAAATAGTTTAAGTGGAACATATTATTGCTGCTCTTCATTAATGGGCCATTATGGCCCTCATGTCAGAAAGTATTTAATTTTAGTTTGAGAAATTGTCTTATATTCTTCATTATACACCAGATGCCAGAAATATTTCTTTTAAAATGCTGGTTTACCTTCAATTAAAAAAAATTTTTTTTATTTTAAATGAAACAAAGATGAATATTTTTAATGATAAAAGGTACAATTTCACAAAGAAGATAGACGTCATAAACCATTAAACACTTTTAACAACAAAGAAAGATAGATACAGCAAATATCAGAAGAAATATAAGGGAAAAGAAAAAATGTATAATCATAGACATATTGACATTTCTCTGGGAATACTTTATCAAGTGCAGAAGAAATAATAGGAGCATCTTTAATGTCAATAATTTAAATATAATTAATTTATATTAAGCATATCATACAGAAATAAATACTTAAAATTTTGTATCTCATGCATTGTTTGTTACTAGATGTCCATAGGACATTAAGAAAAATTGGCAAGAAGATAAACATTACTAAATTTCAGAAAGAGAATTCTTTTTTGTGTGTGTGATTCAGTTATACATATACCCATATGTTATTTTTTAAATTATTTTCCATTATAGGTTATTACAAGATATTGACTAGGTTCCCTTTGTTATACAGTAAACCTGTGTTGCTTGTTGTATATCTTTTTTTTAATTAGAAATCTAGCATTCCATTCATGCTAAATCAAACAAGTGGAATCAAAATGTCATAAAGTTTTTAGTTAGGCAAAAATTCATATGTTTTATAAAATATGTGTATTATATATATGTATACAAAAGCTTTTCTGCTATGCTTGATAAAGGCTTGAGAAAGAACATTAAAAAAAGAGATGGAGAAATTGGAAAACATAAACTGAATGAAATGGGAGCACTGAATATGAAACAGAAAAATTGAGACAATAAAAGTAAAAGATCCTCATATAGTCCAGTCATTTTTAAACATGGCTGCCCATTAGAAACATACCTGGACCTCTGGCAAAAAAAAAAAAAAAAATCAATACCTGGATATTTGTAGTTTTCAAAAAATTTCAAGGTAATTCTGATATGCATATGGATTTTAAATAGTGATTACAGGTTTTTCTATTAAATGATAGTTTAGGTGATACAGAATTACATAACGTTTCTGTTGACCAATCATGATACAGTGGTATTAGGTGAGTAATAGTTACATAATCACAATAGTAAAAGATGTTTATCACCCTCTTTGCAGGGCAGAGGCTGTAGCCCAGCCGAACTGCAGCTAGACTGATACTTCCCCTGGCCCAAGGGCCGTGTGGCCGGCCAGGTGAGGTAGGTCAATAAGCTGTTTTGTGACTAGAAAGCTTAAAAAAAAAAAAAATTTATCATTCTTCACAATCAAAAGATAATTATAAAAAATAAAATATAATTACAGTTACAAACCATAATGGGAACATGATTAACTGTAAATATGAAATAATTACATACAATTTTAATTGTATGTAATTAAATTACATACAGTTGGGGGGAGGTCACACAGTGATATGGTGAGTGGAAATGCATACATGCACATGTTTTTTTTTTTTCATTTATTTTTATTAGTTGGAGGCTAATTACTTTACAATATTGTAGTGGGTTTTGTCATACATTGACATGAATCAGCCATGAATTTACATGTATTCCCCATCCCGATCCCCTCCTCCCACCTCCCTCTCTACCCATTAGTTGGAACTAATTACTTTACAATATTGTAATGACTTTTGCCATACATTGACATGAATCAGCCATGGATTTACATGTGTTCCCCATCCTGATCCCCCCTCCCACCTCCCTCCTCATCCCATCCCTCTGGGTCTTCCCAGTGCACCAGCCCTGAGCACTTGTCTCATGCATCCAACCTGGGCTGGTGGTATGTTTCACCCTTGATAGTATACTTGTTTCAATGCTGTTCTCTCAGAACATCCCACCCTCGCCTTCTCCCACAGAGTCCAAAAGTCTGTTCTGTACATCTGTGTCTCTTTTTCTGTTTTGCATATAGGGTTATCGTTACCATCTTTTTAAATTCCATATATATGGAATATATACTGTATTGGTCTTTATCTTTCTGGCTTACTTCACGCTGTATAATGGGCTCCACATGCACATGTTTTCATCTGCTCAGCCAGTCTATGTTTTTTAGTTGGTGCATTTAATCCATTTACATTTAAGGTATTTATTGATATATATGATCCTATTACCATTTTCTTAATTGTTTGGGGTTTATTTTCTGTAGGTCTTTTTCCTATTACCATTTTCTTAATTGTTTGGGGTTTATTTTCTGTAGGTCTTCTCTTCTGTTTCTTGCCTACAGAAGTTCCTTTAGGGTTTGTTATAAAGCTGGTTTGGTGGTGCTGAATTCTCTTAACTTTGCTTATCTGGAAAGCTTTTGATTTCTCCATCAAATCTGAAAGAGAGTCTTGCTGGGTAGAGTCTTCTTGGTTGTAGGTTTTTCCCTTTCATCACTTTAAATATATCATGCCTTTTCCTTCTGGCTTGTGGAGTTTCTGTTGAGAAACCAGCTGATAGCCTGGTGGGAGTTCCCGTGTATATTATTTGCCATTTTCCCACTGTTGCTTTTAACATCTATCTCTGTCTTCACTTTCTGTCAGTTTGATCACTGTGTATCTCAGTGTGCTCCTCCTTGGGTTTATCCTTCCTGGGGCTCTGTGCTGCTTGCACTTGTTTATCTCCTTTCCCATGTTTGGAGAGTTTTCAGCTGTTACGTCTTCAAATATTTTCCTGTGGTCCTTTGTCTCTCTTCTCCTTCTGGGACCTGTATAATGTGAATATTGGTGCATTTAATGTTGTCCCAGAGGTCTCTTAGGCTGTCCTCATTTCTTTTCATTCCTTTTTCTGTATTCTGTTCTGTGGCAGTGATTTCCACCTTTCTGTCCTCCAGGTCATTTATCTGTTCTGCCTTAGTTATTCTGCTGTTGATTCCTTCTGGTGTATTATTCACCTCTTTGTTTTTTTCTTTAGTTCTTCTAGGTCTTTGGTAAACATTTCTTTCATCTTCTCAATCTTTGCCTCCATTCTTTTTCTGAGATCCTGAATCACTTTCACTGTCATTATTCTGAGTTCTTTTTCTGGAACATTGCCTATCTTTACTTCATTTATTTGTTTTTCTGGGATTTTATCTTGTCCCTTCACCTGGGACATAACTTTCTGCTTTTTCATGCTGATTAACTTTCTGTAATGTGGTTTTGTTTTACTCACTGTGTGATTGTGGTTCTTCTTGCCTTTCTGTCTGTCCTCTGATGGAGGAGGCTCAGAGGCTTGTGTAAGCTTCCTGATGGGAGGGACTGCTGGTGGGAAAACTTGGGTCTTGCTCTGGTGGGCAGGGCCTTGCTCAGTAAATCTTTAATCCAGTTATCTGCTGATGGGTGGGGTTGAGTTTCCTTCCTGATAGATGTTTGGCTTGAGGTGACCCAGCCTTGGGCTCTTTGGTAGGGTTAATGGCGACCTCCACGAGGGTTTATGCCAAAGGGGACCTTCTCAGACAGCTGCTGCCACTACCCCGTCCCTGTTGGTGAGCCCCTGCTGCTCCAGGCCTCCATGGGAGACCCTATCACACTAGCAGGTAGTTTTGGTTCAGTTTCCTGTGGGCTCACTGTTCGTCTGCTCTGAGCCTTGATGCACACAAGGGTTTGTTTGTGCTCTCTAA